TGCCAGACGTGATCCGCATCTGGGACTCCCTCTTCGCCGACGACAAACGCTTCGACTTCCTGCTGCTCGTCTGCTGTGCCATGCTGACGTAAGTGCACAGGGAGCCCTCCTGTCCTCCTCTTTCCCTCCTTTCCCTAAATCCACTGAGTCCTCTGTAGGTGTGGATTAAAGCATCTGGTGAGTAGTTACAGTCACTGTTCACACGGGTAGTGAAAGTGTTTCCAAAACCTCTGTAAGGGCACAGCGTAGTCTGTCGGCTTTTAAAGTTCCTCTGGAAGGAGTCAAAAGCAGCTGGAATAATTTCCATCTTTCAGACTCATCCGGGACCAGTTGCTGGAAGGAGACTTCACTCTGAACATGAGGCTGCTGCAGGTAAGGATTAAATATAGTGGGCATAGGGAGCAGTTTGAAAAGTCCTAAAATAGTACCATGAGAGAGGAGGGTGGTACATGAGAGGGTAGGAGGGTATGCCTGGCTCAAGAGAAGCACCACACTTCTGATGTCTGCATGCAGGAAGATCTGCAGGGATCCTACAGCACACTCAATAATGAAAAGGGGAATCTTTTTCTTGTGTACCCATTCTAGCCTCCAGAGAATTATCATAGACTGGAGGTTTCTAATGTTTGTTTGGTCTGCAAAAACATTGAATAATTTTGAGCTAAAAACCCCTTTGTAACACTTAAATTTTTTGACCAGAGGGTTTTGTTTAGTTCTGAGATCTGTGAGTGCCTGAGGCTGGAAACGCCTGCACTGCACAGTTGGGTGTCTCAGGCTCTGCCAGTTCCTGCTTTGGGCTGTGCAAGATACTGGCTTTGATAAGGCTCTCTGGCATGAGGGAGCCCTGGGGCAGCCCAGCTTACTGTGCCCTTGGAGGACAAAGTAAAAGGGCAACAAACCTCCTTGAGGGGTGTTGAGGTTTGATGGGTTACAAACCAGGGAACTGCAGCTGTTGGGGGAGTAACTGAACCTGGCAGGGTGTTACTGTAGGCCAAGAATGTTGCTGTTGAGGTTTGCTCTGCTGGAGTGAAACAGTCTGGACCAGGAGTGCTGGCTGGGCACTGAAATCCCTTTGTTTCTTTGCCACAGGATTATCCTATCTCTGATGTTCATCTGATTCTGAAGAAGGCAAAGGAACTTCAGGATTCCAAATAGTCCATGGGCCTAACACAAGGTGTCAGAGGAGCTGTGGCAGTGGATCCCAGGAGATGCCCCCATGGAGTGTGGTGCACTAAAGCTCCTCGTGGTCCCTGCAGGACTTCAGGTTTTGTTTGGGCTGCTGGCCACTTTGAAGACTTCCCTCTACTCTATTTATTAGGTCAAGGACTGACTACTTCCCCATCTACTTGGGTCCTGCACTCCAGATTTTTCCAAGTCTCAAATGCCTCTTTGCTGCCAAAAGCAGTTCTTTGTATCTTTTTTTTTTAATGACTTTAAGTTTGGAGAGAAAGAAACCTTCTGTCTGCACATCCCTGAAGGGGTGGACTCCTGGATCGTGGAAGTAACACTTGGAGTAACTTCTGATGGGAAAGGACAGACTGAGTCCAGGGAATTTTGGTGGGTGAACATGGAAGGATCTTCCTCCTGTGAACAGAATGTATTCCAGTGAAGTCACACATCCTGCCATTCAAGTAACTTCTGGGTTGTCCTCCCTCGTGTCTGCACTCAGCCATCCCTGGGGTGTGTGAAGAGGAAGATGGAATCAGTTTCTGGTGATTGGACCCCTTTGCCTGGGAAAAGGACTTGGGAAGCTGAGATGGGAGGACACAGCTGGTGGCTTTGTGCACTCCAACTGCCTGAATCCAGAACCGCCTTATCCACGAGGTCTCCCTGAAATCAGGACCGGTGGTTTGAATCCCTGAGTGGAGTTCTGAGTCAAGCCTTACCACACAGCCTTAGAGCAGGATTGTGGCTGCAGGGGGCCCTCAGGCTGCTTTCCTGGCTCTGAACTGGAGCATATCCAGCTACAATCAGGATCCTGAAACACAAGAAACACACACCTGATCATGTGCAATGAGGACAGAAAGACACATGTGTCGTTGCAGGCCCAGCACTGGGGTTTGCTGCCTCAGTGGCTCACATGACACTACCCTGCATTGAGCTCTGGTCACACTAACCTTGGTATTGTCTCAAAGTACTTCTTGCCAGGAAGAGATGTGGTACAGTTCTGACCTTCAATGAGAGTCCTTTCCTGGCACAATCCAGCAGCTACACAAGAACCTGTCATTAGTGACTGCTGGGGCTGATCCACTGCTGTGTGCTGGTCCTGTTGGAGCCAGCCCTGAGTTGGACCCTCATTCCTCCTGAGACAAACCTGCTGCACTTCAGATACGGTCGAGCAGGCTCGGGTGAGCATGGACTGAGACAAACTCCAGAGGGAACTGCTGACCTGCCCCAGTGTCGAGCTGAGCAGAAACCCTGAGCCTCAGAGGGAGACAGTGCCAGCACCCAGGTGCTTGGGTGGTGCAGGAGCTCTTTGTTGAACACTAATCCAGCGTGCTTTTCCCTTTCTTCCTGTGCTGTGCTGGCTCTCCTCTGCGTGGCTCTTTGACACTGCAGTCTGTGGTATTTATGGGTATTAATTTGTTAAAGGTCAGTCTTTGTAAGACCCTCTTAAGCTGCTGCTGGCCTGGAGTCGCCCTGGCAGGAGGGATGTGGGCAGCCTTCAGCTTTTCTTACTGGTGTCGTTCCCTTCACTGAGGGCCAGTTCTTCACAGGCCGCTGTAAATCTCACAAAGGTGTGTGGGGAGACTGCAGGACAGGTTGGTGCATGTTCCTGTGTTCTTGTTGGCAATCCCAAGCAATCTCTGCCTCTTCAGAAGATGCTCGAGTCCCACAGGTGCAGCCAGGTGTTGCTGCTGTGTTGCAAGAGCAACTGAAGGTTTAAAGCAATCTGTAATTAATACCAGTGGCAACACTATCCCTCTCTACTGCAATCTTTTCTAGAGGGTACAGTTTTCCTCCAAGAAAAATGGGACAGGTAGAGCAGGACAGCTCTGTAATGTCTGCTCTAGTCACTGGATGGATGTTGTTCTTCCTGAGCTGTTCCAGGTGGTCCCATGGGCTCAGCTCTCGGGGTCCCTGCCCTAGGGATGTTGTTGGCCAGACCTTGTGTGGCCAAACAGCCAACTGGGAGGTTCTCTCCAAGCATAGAACCAGAGGGTTCACGCTCTGTGGCAGAACTGGACCTTCTCCAAACACTTCTGCCTCAGAACTGCTTTAAATGCTGCTGCAGCCCTCCCATTCCATGTACAAGCTCTGCTCTCACTCCCTGGATATCTGGCCTGGGCTGTTCACTTTGAGTCCCCCTGGCAAGTGCAGGGGTTCCCTTATGCTGGATTTTCTCACTGGTAATGGGACCATCCATGAGGTTTCCTGCTCTTGAACAGCTGGAAGTCTCCTTAAAGCAACCTTGAGGAAGCAGCAGGCGAATCAGGATTACTTGGAGGTGAACTTTGCACACTTTCAGAGTAGCTTTGTGCCCTGGGGATGAGCTGCCTGGGCAGGAGCTGGGCTGGAGCGTTGCACACACTGGGGGAAGGCCCAGGGGACGTGCAGGTGGCTGTTGGGTGCAGGTGTCTCGCTGTCTTCTCCCTTCCTTGGTGTCCAAGGGCTCGTGTTATGGCACCTTCCCTTGAGGGGCGACAGTAAATGCCTCAGAAAGGAGTCTGCAGTGGTTTAAAGGGATGTGATGAGAGCTTTGGCTGCTGGAAGGGTTCTCTGGGATGAATTTTGTAGCCTTATCCAGACTATGACTGCTAAATGGATTGAGTTTTTTGGGGAGAGCTTGGAACATCTTTGATAAACCCAGACAGGATTGGTTCCCACATAAAAAGCTGCTTTATATTCCTCCTTTTTCCCCCTCTTGTGTGGTAGGACTTCTGTCCTGCTGTTGAAAGTTGACTTTTCAGTGACTGGGGACATTCATTTCTTTACTCCAACACTTTCTCCTTTCTTTAAGAGCAAGACTGAGGGGAGGGAAAAAAGTCTAATTATCAGCTTTTGAATCTCCTCATGAATCCCTTGGCTTCATTCCTCAGAGGCTTTTGGTGATTTTTGTTGTTGAGATGAGATGATACTTAAATAGTGGTTCCTTTCTTGTGTGACCGAGTAACAGCTACTGCAGCCTTGGGATGTTTCCACCTCTGCTTTCTTTCAATCTTGACCTGCTGAGGCTGGAGTTCTTTGGGGTGGGAAGTGTGGACAGGACACTGTGCTGGATGTGGAGAGAGATGAGCCTTCCCTGGGGGAGGGACAGGTCTGCTCTACCTGCACCTCTCTGGAATTCAGCAAACTCTGTGGCTTCCTCAATCAGGTAGAAGCAAGAGGGTACTGGAGATCAAGTTGGTGTTGGTGGTCACTTAAAAGACTGATTTGTGTGACCTAGACTAGAATTATTCACATTTGGCAGTGAGTAGAATGAAGGCCAGAAGTTGCTTTAGGGGGCTGGGGTGTTTGGGAAAGCAGAGACTTTTCCCTTAAGGAATGTCAGTCTTTGTTTTAGCTGTTTAGGGCACTCCTCTAAAACGCCCTTTCCCCAAGGAAAGGAACAGATAACACTTTTTTTTCACCTTGCTTGGAAAGAATTGCCAGAACAGTGTGTAGTGAACATTTCATCACTCTAAAACTCCTTCTTTTATGCTTCTTTTTAAACACCATTTTTATAACGCTTCCTTAACCAAACGGGGGGACTTCGTGCAAACCTGTCCCGGTGCTGTGACCGGAGTTTGGGCTGCGGTGTCCATAGTGTGAGAGCGGCTGGGCCGGGCCGTCCGAGCCTTGGGGCCGGAGCCATCTCCTCCTTCGCGGGGTGGTTTTGCTTTCCCTTCCCAAGGAACCGCGGGAGCGGTGCCTTTTCCCCGGGAACACCCGCGGGCGCTCTGGGCCGCGGTGTGAGCGCGGGTCCCGCCCTTCGCTGACCGCTGTTCTGTGTCCCGCTCCCCGTCCCGCGCCGTCATTCCCGGTAAAGCCGTTCCCGGTAAATCCTTTCCCGCTCCCGTCCCGGGATCGCGGTGTCCGCGCTGTCCCCGCGCCGTGCGCGCCTGCCTTAAAGCGGCGATGGCGCCGCCGATTCGCGGCCTCCCCCGGCGCAGCCTTGGCCGCTTTAAGGGCCGGGGGCGGTCCCCACCGGCACGGCCATGCTGCGGGCGCGCTGGGCGCTGCCGTTCGCGGTGGGCGCGGGGCTGGGGGCGGCCCTGGCCCCCCGGGACCGCCGGGATGCCCGCGATCCGCGGGGCGAGGCGGCCGAGGGGCTGCTGGCCCGCCTGCCCGTGCTGCCCGCCGTGGCCGCGGCCTCGGCCGGCCCGCCGGCCCCGCCGGGCTCGGGGCGCACCGAGCTCAGCAAGTACGGGCTGCCCGGGCTGGCGCAGCTGCGGAGCCGCGAGTCCTACGTGCTGTGCTACGACCCGCGGAGCCGCAGCGCGCTCTGGGTCATCGAGCAGCTCAACCGCGACACGCTGAGCGGCGCCTCGGACCGCGCCGCCTGCGACTTCCAGGAGGACGACTCGGTGCACGAGTATCACCGCGCCACCAACGCCGACTACCGCGGCAGCGGCTTCGACCGCGGGCACCTGGCGGCGGCCGCCAACCACAAGTGGAGCCAGAAGGCCATGCGGGACACGTTCTACCTGAGCAACATCGCTCCGCAGGTACGGTCCGGAGCTGCCCCGCCCGAGGGCAGACGAGATAAACCACCTGGGAGCCGCTCTGTGTTTGTCCCGCTGTGTTTGACCCCTCCGGGCAGAGAGGGGGCAAAGTCATCCAGAGGTGTTTCCTGCTGAGTTTAACAACTGCAAACGCACCCGCATGTGCCTCCCGAGCCGTGAGAGACCCCGTTCAGAGCAGTTAAACACCCGGACAGACACTTGCAAAAGTTGTGGGCTGAGCGATGGGTCCTGTCCTGGGTGTGCAAACCAGGACCTCGCCGTGCGCGGCTTTCCCAAAGCAAAGGTGGTGGTGGAGATTCAGGATTTTATGATCTCTTCTGGAAAGTGCCTGGGGCACTGTGAGATGTGTTAACAGAAAAGGCAGGTGTGTTACTCTGAACAGTGAGGAAATACCCCAGCAACTCACCACTGATTGTGTTTCTAGAATCCTCACTTAAACCAGAATGCCTGGAATAACCTTGAGAAGTACTGCAGGAGCTTGGCAAAGCACAACAGGAATGTCTACGTCTGCACAGGCCCCCTCTTCCTGCCCAGGTAAACACGAGGGCTGAGCTGGGATGGCACCCGAAGGGTGCATCCTGCTGGGAAAGGAAAACGGGATGAGGTGCTCCTGCCTGCTCAGTAGGTGAGGCCAGCTGTGCACAGAGGTTCTGTGGTACTTTCTTAGGATCAGGATGTAGATTGTGTATTTCCCATCCAGTTGATTATTTCATGAGTAAGGGTGGGTTTCTTAAGCTATAGTATAACTAAATTGCTTTTGATTGCAGTCCTTAACAATTTAGTAATTACTAGATGATTAGATTAACAGATTGGACTGCAGACCCCATCCCTGCAGAATAAAGCTTCCAGGTTTTATTTCATGGACTAGCACTCCACTTAAGGGCACGACTTTATTTGCAAAGATCTTCACTTAGTGCTGAACAGCAGCTGGCTCATGCTGAGATCTCTTCAGCAGCAGGAAAGAGCTTGGAAAGGCTGTTCCAGAGAGCCAGCAGGGAGAGGGCTTGGGAGGAGCAGACCCAGTGCCCAGCTCAGCCTCTCTGTGTCACGAAGCCTCTGCTGCCGTGGGGTGGGGGCTCACTTGGGGTGTTGGAGAGCTGAGGGGATGGAGGTGGCACCAGATTGGGAGATGATAACCTGGGATGTTGCTGTTGGTGCAGGATGGAGGGCGATGGGAAGATGTATGTCAAGTACCAGGTGATTGGGAAGAACAACGTGGCCGTCCCCACCCACTTCTTCAAGGTGCTCATCTTGGAAAAGGAGAGCGGGGAGATCGAGCTGCGCTCGTACGTGATGCCCAACAGCCCCGTGGATGAGAAGATCCCCCTGGAACGGTTCCTGGTCCCCATCGAGAGCATCGAGAGAGCCTCGGGGCTGCTCTTTGTCCCAAACATCCTGAGGAGAACGAGTAACTTGAAAGCCATCACAGCTGGGAGCAAGAGTTGAACCCTGACTAAGTAAATCGAGGTATCCCCGGGAAGGGACTGACAGCAGTGACCCACAGAATCAGTTCCTTGTGCAATTTTAAATGTGGGGGGAATCAAACTAATGCTTCTCTCTACCCCTTGTCCTCTTTTGTGGAAGTGAAACGCAAACACAACACACAGCAGGTCTCCAGGGGGGTCCTGCAAAGACTCCTGGGCACCTGACACTGTAGCAGCTCTGTAGACTAGAATTTGTCCTAACCCACTGCTCCCCTGGAGTTGTGTGAGCTCATTAAGGCACAGAGGGAAGTTACTAACTTTTGCTGTTTATCAGGGAAGGAGGGGAAGCAAGATGGGTGCAGTGGGAGGAGAGGAGGAATTCCTGCCTTCCTGTGGCCAAAGGATTGTGTGATTGTTTTCTTCCAGGAGATGGTTTTAGCAGTAAAGCTTTGACCACCCACGGTATTGGTTGTTTCTTATCTGCTCTCACCAAAGCTCTGAATATCTCAGCAGGAGGAGGGGAGGACAGAGCCAACTTTTCCAGCTGCTTTCCTGTCTGAGCTCACGGTAGGCAGAGCTTAAGGCATCACAGATGGAGCCAAACTGTAACAAGCTGATGTGTTCTAGTGCTGAGGCCCAACTGAAGCTCCAGCCCTTCCTGCTGTTGGGAAGGATGAAGCCTTGGAGTTGAAGGGGGGCTGGGGAAGTCAGGCTAAGGCAAGAACAGCTTCTTGGCACAAGGATTAAGCTTTGACTTCCTTTCAGTCCGAAAGCCACGTGGCTCCAGAGTCACTGAGCGTGCAGTGCCCTCCTCTACATGAAGTCACACCTGGATTTGAGGCAGCTGAGGTTCCATACTGCTTTATTCCCACCTCAGATGTCAGAATTGCTGAGACCCAGGCTGCTGCCAGGGCCATGCAGGCAGGAGGGCACAGCCTTGCTCCCTGCAGCAGCTGAATTCTTGGCTGGGCAGTGCTGCCAGCTTTGGTCACGCTGAGCCTCAGCCCCGCCAGGCGCTCGGAGTGACCTGCCCAGCACCCCCTGTTCGAGGAGCCACCTCCTGAGTCCTCAGTGCCTGCCAAGGTCAGTGGTTTCCCTTCCCCTCAGCTGTCCCTGGTGCCTTCACAGCCTCTTGGATGTGGGGTCTGAGCGCAGACAGGGAGATCAGCAGCGCTTCCTGGAACAGAGCAGAGTCAGAGCTGCTGTGAGAGCACCAGGCAAAGCAGCTGCTCCCCGAGGGTCACTGTGGGGAGCCACACGTGTCACTGCCACAGGCAGGAACCCAGCCCTGCCCTGGGCACACCCTGCACCGTCAGCCCCCACCTCTGTGCGGATGGTCCTGCTGCCCTGGCCCGGGCAGGTGTTCAGATAGAAGTCAAACAAGGCGCTTGGGTCGGTGACCTCCAGGTTTGGATCCACATCAACCCCGGCTTCCAAGCCTTCAAGGCCTCCGAACACGATAAGGGCGTGCCTGGGGAGAGCACAGGGACAGGGTGAGGGGGCAGAATCTGCAAGAAGCAGGTTCCTTCCTTTTATTCAGGTGTCTGGGTCTGCTTTCCTGTGTGCTGCTGAGGCAGGGAGCTGTGTCCCCTGCTGGTGGTGCCCAGTGCAGCTGCCTCCCCACCAAAAGCCCCACAGCACTTGGCCAATGTGACAGTCCCTGCTGCCAACTGCAGGAAAACAGGAAAGGAATTGGCCTTGAGCTGGGGTGCTTCCCCAGCTTCCAGAGAAATGAGCCTTGGTGTAAAAGGGAACAGCAGAGCACAGGAGGGAGCCTGTGGGGAAGTCCTGCACTTGGATCTAGGGGCATTCCAGCCTGGGATGACCCCAAGGCTGCAGTGCAGCTCTGCTGCCTGCACCAGCCTCGCTGGGGGCTCTGAGAGGGGCCAAGCAGGTGGGACACGAACCTGAAGGAGGGGAGGGTGACCTGGTCCACGGGGCTGCCCCGCTCTGAGGTCCCAATGGAGAGATCGTAGCCTTCCTTGAACGGGCACTCGGAAAACACAGCACCTGGGAGCACAGTCTGGGTTATTGCTGCAGTGCCCTCCCCGTGTGCCTTCTGGGCAAGGTGAACAAGTGCCACTGCTGCATCAGGAGACAGAAGAACGATTCCTCCTTCCCACATCATTCCCTTGCTCTAGGAACCTCCCCCACCCTTCTCAACAGCAGCACCTCCTCCTCAAAGCTCATAACACTAAGGGGTGCAGTCAACCAGAACTCAGGAGGAGGATTTTTAGGGTTCTTAAGCTCAGATGTCACTGCTGGCTCTGGTGGGAATGAGTGGGATGTCGTTATCATGGAAACGGAGGAGGAGAGCACCAGCTCATCTCCTGCTGCCGTGCAGCCATCTGGAGCAACGGTGAGTGCAGATGCAGGGCAGACTCCTGGGGGTGACTGGCCCCTAAATTTGGCTGCCAGATGGCTGCTAACTGCCTGTGTAAGCTGCCTTTAGGACAAGAGATTTCTATGAGAGTGATATTAATGTTTAGCCAGTAGGCCTGAAATTGGTGGGCGAGCCCAGGCAGAGCCGTGACGGGGAGCAGGGACTCCCTGTCCATACTCACTGAGGCAGGAGGCCAGGCGGACGCTGTACCCCCAGTACAGCCCTGACACCGTGCGCGGGTGCTGCGAGGACACCACGGTGCCTTTGTGCACTTTGGCTTCTGCAAGGGAAGCAAAGAGATGATCAACCCCTGCCATCTGCTGAGACCTGAGCAGCAGTTTCTCCTGGGGCAGGGCACTGAGTTGGTGTACAGCCTGATCCTCCCTTTCTCCAGAACGTGAAAAGGGATTCTGGGAATTCTGCGAGCTCTGGAAAGCGTGCAGGTGTGTTTGGGGTGCTCACTGTTGGTCAAAGAGCTGGTGGTTCTTCCCAGTTACCAAGGGAGGCATGGTGAGGGTGTTACTAAACTGTGTGTGAAGGGAAGGTGTGGAACTGTCAGACACCTTCAGACCTATGATATGGAAGGAGCAGCTCCTGCAGGTCTGAGGTTTAGAGCTGTGGATTACCTGGATTCTGGGGCTCCTCCAGGCGCACGGTGACTCTCAGACCGGGGTTCAGCTGCTTGTCAATCTGCACCTCCTGCAGTGACAGTCACCATCATTGTCAGGCATTCTGGAAGTACTGGGGAAGGTGGGGAAGGAAGGGAACCCTCTGAGGGTTCCAGCCTGGAGCTGGAATGAGGAGCTCTGCCTGTGGCTCGAGGGCTTGGGCATCAGTCTGAGACTTATTTTGCTGCTCAAAGGTTCAGCTGCAGCAGCAAAGCAAAAATGGGCTGGAATGGGCAGGGCCTTCCAGGGGCTTGGGAAGCCACAAACATTGGAGAGCCAGAAGGGAAAAGACAGCAAAAGCTTTAACCCCCCTGTGGCCTTCAGAAAGCCAGCAGTGCCCACCCTGCCTGCTTCAGATCTGCCAGAGAGACAAGGGGCGTTGTTTTTGGGATCTGTGGGTAACAGACCTACCTTCCTCATCCCACAGTTAACAAAAGAACCTCTGCCTGGCTTCGAGGGCCGGTCCAGCACGACGCCCTCCCGGTATTCCGAGTCCTCATCCACCCGCATGTGGTGGGGGCTGTCCAGGGGGTTGAGGAGCCCTGGAACAGCACAGAGGGAAGAGCTGCTGACAGGACAGTGTAAGTGCTCTCCTGCCCCCTCCCTCCTTTCAGTGTCCCAGAGCACCTCCCTGGCTCGGTGAATTGGGAACAGTCCCTGAGATCTGTGTGCCCCACCCAGAAGGAGCTCAGGAGGGACAGGGACAGCTGGATCGTTACCTGCAAACTGCAGATCCTCGTGTTTCGGAAAAAAGATTTTCCTCAAGTACCTGTTACCAGAGAAGGCTGAAATGTGAAAAGGTGTTTTTATGGAATCCAAGCCTCGATTCCAACCCTGTCCCGAGTGAGAGGAGCTGAGTACAGAGAAAAGCAGGCTCATCTTCTTCAAATCCCTGATCTACCTCTAAGGTATCGTGCAGGTTGTGTCCTGCATTCACTGCTCCTCTTTCAGTTAAACTCCTGAAGCAGACCAGTGAAACAATTAGATCCTGTGTTCCTGCATAATTACATGATACAATCAGAATCTGCCTCCTGCTCCCACAGCCTCTGGTGTGAGGTACCCAAGCAGTTGGATCTCATGGACAGTCTGACCGTGGTGGACTTACTGAGGGCACTCCAAGTACTGCAGGACCCGAGCCAGCTGCACACAAGCCTTGCCTTTCTTCCCAATTCCTTTAAAGTCCCCTTCCACGCTCCTGAAAGGAAAAGAAAGCAGCTGGAGGACTCAGTCTGAGGTTGGTCAGATCTCCAGAAGATCAAGCTTTGCTTCTTAATCTGAAAATAGCAGCACAGCCCTTCTCTCCACCACTTGTGAAAGAGCTGCTCATCTTTGGAACTCTCTCCATAAGCCAGGTATCTTTTTCAGTTTTGTTTTTTGATCTTTTTGTACTGACACAACCTGGCACTTGGATGCCACTGACTGGATGCTCAGAATTGCAGGGCTTGGCCAGTCAGCACAAGGGCAGGTCCAGGTAAAAAGCTGAAGGACAGGAATTATTCTTCTAAAGGGATGTAGGAATGTCCTGTCCCTCACAGCAAGGTTTAAGAGCACAGGAGAGCTCGACCTCCTCCTGCTTTGTCATCCCCGTGCTGGGATGAAACAATCCTGGTTGCCAGGGCTGTCCAGTCAAAATCTTTTCCCAGTGGTAGAGGGGTCCCTGTAAGCCTGGCATTTGAGGGAGGTCCAAACACTTGCATGAGGTGCACGCAGTTCCCTCCTGGCCTCAGCTTTGTAAAAGGCTGAAGGAACTGAAAGCTGAGAGGAAACACTTTGTGTAGAACAAGATGGTCCCTCCTTCATAGAATCACAGGATGGTTTGGGTTGGAAGGGACCTTAAAGCCTGTTCCACGCCCCTGCCATGGGCAGGGACACCTTCCACCAGCCCAGGTTGCTCCAAGCCCCGTCCAACCTGGCCTTGGACACTTCCAGGGCTGGGGCAGCCCCAGCTTCTCTGGGCAACCTGTGCCAGGGCCTGCCCACCCTCACAGGGAAGAATTTCTTCCTAAAGCCCCATCTAAATGTGCTCTCTCTCAGTGTCCCCCTTACTTCACGTCCTCTCCCTGCTCATCGAACACCACGATCTCGTCCACGCCGAAGATGGCGCAGGCGCGGCCGATCTGCCCCGCCAGGTACGTGCGCAGCTCCGGGGACTGCGCGTTGTTCAGGATGGAGCCCGGCAGGGCCACGCTCAGCGTGTGGTGACGGCCTGGGGGCACAGAGAGAGCCGTGAGAGAGAATCCCGGCTCGGGGAGCAGAGCCACGGCCCCACAGCTGATGCAGCGCATCGCAGCTACTGTGGGGGGAGAAACGCCCTCTGTTTCTCACATTTAATCCCAGATTGTCTCTTAAGAAGGGCCTCTGGTGCGGTGCTTGCTGTTCGTGCCTGTTTGGGCACGTGGGCTGATCCCCACTGGATCTATGAAGTGTCACCTTCCCTGTCCCTGACTGGCTTTTAACAGCCCAGTTCTCCCAGCTTTCGCCACCCACGTGTCCCCACCGGGTCGCAGCGGCATCACCTCTGTCTTCCTTCTGCTCCTCCTTCTTTTTGGCCTCCTGTTCTGCCAGCTCCCGCACCCGCTGTTTCTCCAGCTTCTTCAGCAGCTTCATCTCCTTCCACTTCTTCTTCTCCGCTTTCCCTGGGGCGGGGAACAACGCCTGGCCTTAAACACCGATTTCACCCTCCCGCAGCCCCCACGTGTGCCCGGCCTTGCTTACTCTCCTCCTTCCAGCGCCGCCAGTCCACCTTCCTGTCCTCGACCTGCAGGGAACGGAGCGCGTTACCCCTCAGGGTCGTCCCCGGGACCCCCCCCATCCTCGGGGTCCCCCCTTTCCCCCGGACACCCCTGTTCGCGGGACACCCCCGTTCCCGGGGTCCCCCCTGTTCCCTTGGACACCTCCGTTCCTGGGGTCCGCCCCATCCCCTGGACACCCCCATTCCCGGGGTCCCCCCCGTCCTTGGGACATCCCCATTCCCGGGGTCCCCCCGCCCCACCTGCGCTCCCCGGGGCCGCTTCCCCACGGTGCCCACGGTGTCCGCCATCTTTCCCGCGCTCCCGGTCACGCCCCCCGCGCTGTGATTGGTCGGAGGGCGCCGGCACCGCCCCCGGGAGGCGGAGCCCCGGTGTCAGTTGGGTCGTGCTTTAGCGCCCCGCGCGGGTGCGAAGCTGAGCCGGGACCGCCGCGTTCTGCGGGCGGATGGGTGACCCGAGAACCGCTTCTGTGGCTGGTCAGAGTTTCACCTCCGTGCTCGTTCAGTGAGTGACGTTTCACACAGAGGAAGTCCAGTTCACGAATAGAAACGTTCTGGGTGGTTGGGAGCGAACGTTCCTCGGGATTGCAGCTGTTCCTTGAGGTTTCTTCTCGTTTTTTTCTTTTCGAACGTGCGCCACCTGTGGATCTCTTGAGATGGGGTTTTCTGGAGAGTTCATTCCCAAAATAATAATGATTAAAAGCTGGCTATAGCCACTGGCAGGGTCTAGGGGAGTGTAGGTAAAATTTAGGCAGCCACAGCTGTATCTCTTTGCACAAGCACTGCTTGTGTGTTGGCCAATGTGTAGATGCCCCCTGCCCCTTGCAGGTTGGGCCATGGCCTAGAACAAGAGCTCCCACGTGTGGGAGTGTTGCAATTAATCTTCATGTTAATAATCTAATCTCACAGTTCTTTCTCTCTTTCAGCAGTTGCAGCTCTCCCCATGTTTGGTAGGTAAATGGGTGCTAAAGGGCTTTCAGCAGCACCCACCCAGGCAGGTAAGCAAGGTGAGCCTGGCATGTGCCACCAGTGAGAGCAGGTTTGTTTGCCTCCCTTCCTCTGCTCCATGCAGCACTGGCTCCCAGGGGATCGGTCCCACCAGCTGCATCCCAGTATGGAAAACCTGTGGAGCTGCTCCCTGCCAGCCTGGGTGGGACGAGCAGCCACCATCACAGGACACAGGACAGGTGTTGGTCTCTCCAGGAGAGCCGTGTCAGCCCTACAGTCAGCACAGAGACACTGACTCTTCCATGACTGCAGGAGTTCCACTTTAATAATTTAACTGCTACAAACACTCATGGCACAGTCTGGTGCACGTAACTCCTGCGTGGTTGATGATGATGATGATGTTTTACGTTCTTATCCAGGCTGAAATCAAGACTGATGCAAGAATTCCCACTCAGAGGCTGCTGATGTCACCCCACCAGCCCAGTGGGTGGGAGGCTGTGGGGGCACCAGCAGCAGGAGCAGCCTGAGGCCACAGTGCCCATCCATGTGCTCTGATCAAAGGCCTAAAGGTTTGGTTCTGCACCCTGGACGATGCTGCCAAGCCCTGACAGTGCCCAGAGTAGCCTGGGGGTGCACAGGGAAGGTTTGGCAATAGCCATGACATCGATAAAAGCTGTTTCCTGGGGGAAACCGGTTACGGATTCTGCGGTCACCACATCCCAGAACTGATCAGCAAAGTCTTTAAACGTAAGAAGAAACGTCAAATACTGTCAGTGCACACCAAGTTACTGTGACTGTCTCACAGTGGCTGAAAGTGTTCCCAGATCCTGGGCCTGGCAAACCTCACCCCCATTTGTCTGACAGAAAATGGCTGAAAGCACAGAAGTAAGAAGGTATCAAAGTTTGTGGACGGGTAAAGAAGAGGAAGAAGAGCAGTCAGGGCAGGTGAGGACCAAGGGGATTCTGGTTGTCTCTCCGGTGCACTCAGGAACTGGTTTTCTCCTTTTTCCACTTTTGCAATATGTCATTTGCTGCCTTCAGTGTAGCTTCCTCCTAAACAAATACCACAGGTTTGGTCAGTGGCTTCCAGCCAAATCCCATTTTCCCTCAGTGCACTCACCATTCATACAAAAATCATGTTCTCCTTCCTGAAGGTGGCAAATGCTCTGTGTTCAGTGTGAGACAGGCACAGCCACCTCTGGGCAGGCCTGGCCAGTGGGCAGCTAAACACACACCCAGAGACTCCCTGCCTTGACCAAGAAATGTAGGATGCTGATGGGGCCAAGCTTAGGATGGCCCTGCACACCTGCTGCCCCTGGCTGGGCTCACATGGCTGGAGGAGGGGCTGTTCCAACTGGAATGCCATGCTCCAGGGTCTATTCCCACTCTGCATTTCTTCTGGGCATTTATCTGGTTAAACCAGCCCTGGCTGTTACTCCCAACCCCCCCTTCCTCGGTGCTGTCTCGTGGCTCACCTTTGCGAAGCAGAACCGGATGAAATTGGTGTAGTTGTTCTTGTGGGCCTCGCTGTAGAACGCGGAGAGCGGGATGGCAGCAAGGCCCTGGGGAGAAGGAAGCACATGGAGCTGAGTTTCCTGCTCTGGGGCTGCCCTGCCCCAGCGTGGGTGAAGCTCTCCACTCCAGATCCCCCCTGCCAGGAGCTGCCAGGCCAGCAGTGGTGTCGTGCTGTGGCTCCCACTGGTGCAGCCAGCGGGGAGGGCACAAACCCACCCAGGGCAAGTGCAGCAGGAAGGGCCATTCACAGTTACCTTGTTCTTCATCATCCACTTTGTAAATCTGTAGTCATAGGGCTCATCCGAGTTGGGGACCTCGGGGACATCAGATTCTGCAGGACAAGCACAGCAGGACGGGGGCTGGGGCGGCTACCAGGTACCCCAAACCCACATCCTTGGAGCTTGGATGGGGGATGCACTGTCCATCCCTGCTTTGGTGGTGCTTTAGGCAGGTTCCTGCCCCTGCCAGGGGTATCCTCTGAGCTGCCCCCACACTCAGCCCCCCTGGGCAGCAGACTGACTCACTGAACTCGGAGATGTCGGCCACCAGGAAGTAGGTGCCCTCGGGGACGACGGGTTTCATCCCCACAGCGACCAGGCTCTGGATCAGCAAGTCTCTCTTCTGCTGTAGCGCCCTGGGCAGTTGGACAAAGTAGCTCTCTGGTTTGCCAAAGAGTGCGAGCTCCCTCTGGAAACCCTGAGCCACGGCCTCCTGCAAGGAGAGAGCAGCCAGTGCCCAGTGGGAAGATGGCCTAGGCTTGTTCAGGAACTGAAGTCTTTGCTCTGATACAATTCACAGGTGATTAGGGAACTCTGCCTCCAGCCCCTCCAAATGGCCCCTTAGATTTGTCAATGCAAGGTAAGGAATAAACCCCAGGCAGGCTGGACTCTCCCCTTTCTCCCAAAATGGGGCAACTACAGAGAGAGGGGAAGGAGCCCCTCCAGGGCACCACAAATAACTCATCCTGTGCCTTTCAGGTCAGCCATGGCCAAAAGGACCACATCCTGCTCCTGCTTCAGGAACATCAGGGCCAGCTGCAGGGAGCTGCCTTACCTGGGCAATGGTGGCACAGTGGTACACTGAGTTCTGGTGCACGGTGCGCAGGTGCCGCAGCAGCCTGTCAGGTCCCACAGTCCAGCCCACCTGCAGCCAGGAGAGGAGGAGGAAGGTGGTAAGTCCCTGGGAACCTGCTCAGGCACCCCTTTATTTGCCTGTGCTGGTTTCATTGTATTTTCCAGACAGAGCTCTCCTAAAGCAGCTCTGGTGCTTCCAGACCTCGAGGCTCAAAGCTGAGCGTGCGGCCGTGCTGTGGCAAAGGGACAGGGATGGGCACACCATGAGGTGCCACATGGGGCATTCACCTTCCATCCAGTGGCACTGAAGGTCTTCCCAGCACTCCCGATGATCACCGTGCGATCCCACATCCCTGGCAAGCTGGCTGGCAATGAAAGGAGAGGAAGCCCCGGGGCAGAGCTCAGTGTGCTCATTCCTGGCAGCTCTTTGCCCACCATAACCCATCGTGATCTTTTGTGTGTTCACAGCACATCTTTCACCTGGATGAGCCTCAAGGCAGCCAGGTTTCTCAAGAGCATCTCTTTTTAATTAAATATTTTCATGCTCGTGTGCCCAGCCCCAGGGGCTCCTGGAGATGCCAAGCACCATCACCCTGCATCAGGGTGATTGCATGTGACTGCAACCAGAAGAACAGGCCTCTGAAATCGTGTTGAAATGGATTTCCCAAAACCAGAGACACTCAGAAAGCTGTGGCTTTACAAAGCATGGGATAAACCCCTCAGTTTCACTGGAGCCAAAGGGCTCTTGGCTCTGAAATCAGGGCTGAGATTGGAGTGCAAAACACCTCCAGCGAGGACTCATGGCTAGTACAGCTGTGCATGCAAGGCAGCCTGTGGGATCTCCAGGGGACCCCAGTGACATCACCACTGCCCAGCCAGGCCCGCTCCGCACCGATCCGGGTGTTCTCCCTCCCGTCGTAGACCAGCCACTCGTACACCTCGTCACTGATGCACAGCACGTCGTGCTTCACGCACAGCTCTGCAATGACCTCCAGCTCCCCACGGCTGAACACCTGCAGAGGGAAGGGAGGGGGGCAGGGATGCAGCAGGAGCATTTCCGAGCCTGTCCCTGCCTGTCCATGAAGGCTGAGCACCCTGACAGCACCATCTCCCAGGTCAGGGAGGCAGGAGCTGGCAGGCCTAACAGGGCAAAGCCACTGCTGGGACAAAAGACGAGGCTTAAAAACACCAGAAGAGCGAGCACAGCACGTGGTGCCTTCAGAAAACCCGTTTTCCTTGTGTGCAAGGAAGGTTGAGTCACTGCTGCACTGCAAACGTGGCTGGGGGAGCTGCAGCACCCCAGCAGCTCCCAGGGCCACTCACAGCACGGCCAGAGGTGTTACCTTGCCCAGAGGGTTGTTGGGTGAGTTCAGGACGATGGCTTTTGTCCTTTCACTGAATTTAGAAGCCAGTTCAGCTGGGTCCAGTTGCCAGTCTGCACTAGACATCAATTTTCCATCTTTTGGAGCTTTCTAGAGAGAACAGAAGGGAATCTTGGTTTGCTTTCCTACCTGTGCATTTTGCTTACCACTTTCCTCCTCACTCACTCTGCTGTGACTCTTCCCCCTCCACCCACTCACCGGTCTCAGCGGGACAAACACGGGTGTCCCACCAGCCATTTTCACCATTGGCTCATAGCAGTCAAAGAAGGGCTCAATGATGATCACCTGGAAGAAAGGGACATGTCAGCACCCTCCTGGCCGTGCAGACCTTCCCTGATGGGTGCAGAGAGCAACGGGAGGGATATTTTAATCTCTGAATTTCTGTAATTGAGAATCTGCAGTGCCTCTGGGCAGTGTCAGGGAAGAAAACCACCACTCAGGGCAAAAAGGGTTGTTTTGCCTTATTCTGAAATGAGACTGTGCCCTGCAGCAGATAATTTTTTTCCCTTGGAAGTTCAGAAACTGGAGAATGGAGCTAAAACTGTCTCTGCTTTGGAAAAGGACAATGAAAACCGGCCTGCAGCTCATGGCAGACCCACAGCCAGCAAGGGCTCTCCTGGGGGAATGCTGCCAGTGCAACAAGCCCAAATCTTGGGTTACCTCATCACCTTCATCCACGAAAGCCTGGAAGCAGCAGAAAAGGGCCTGGTATGCCCCCACAGTCACCATCACATTGGTCATGGGGTCCAGCTCTCGTCCAAGCACCTTCTCAAACAACTGGGCTAGGGCTGTCACCAGAGGGGGGTGTCCCTGGGGGGCGAAAGGAGGGTGGGAATTTGGTTGCAGAACCCTTGGAAGGGGCCTGGGCAGCCAAACACCCCTTGAGGCCTCTCCCAGCCGGGCTGCTTCAAACACCCTGGTAAAGCAGGGAGTTACAGCCCTGGAGCAGGGGGCTTGGGGCGAGGCTGGATGTGTGTTTGGCCCCGAGCTTGGCCCTGTTTACTGCTGCCTGGGGAGGCCTGAAGCAGGCAGGGCTGAGGGGCAGGGAGGGGGTGCTGCTGAGGAGGGGTCTGTGACGCACGAAGGCCCGGGTGTACTGGTGCAGCATGTGGTTCCCCCCGCCGAGGGCTCGCTTCAGTGCCTCCTGCAGGAACTCCGGTGCAGGGAAGTCAGGGAAGCCCTGGCCCAGGTTCACCTTGGAATAGGTAGCAGCCAGTTTCACAAACTCCACCCTAGAGAGAACAGAGGGGAGAGAAAAGCACTTACAGAGGGTCTGGGCAGCATGCTGGCACCAGCTCTGCCTGCAGCATCCCTTTGGAAGGGAGCGGGGTTGGGGTCCCTCCTGCAGGGCCATCCCACTGCTCACAGGTGGGTAGGGCCGAGCACAGGTCCTTTCAGACCTGCTGCAATTAAACCAAGGACAAGGCACTACTGCACTGGGGGGTGGCTTTAATTTATTCTCTCAGGAAACAGCTCCTGTGCTGTCTGGTTTGTGGTCATGGCCGAAGCCACTCAGACACATTCAGGACAGGAGGCTTCCAAGCTCATACCAGCTCTGCAAAATTTAGCAACCATACATCATGAAGGCCTCTGCAGAGGGCAAGGCAGGCTGAACTTGCTGCTTGTCCCAAACAAGAGCAAGTCTGTAGTCATCAGCAGTCTGTAGGTTGTTTCAATCTCTTCCTCAAGCTTTCCCAATCCCTGTGCTGTGCCTGGCGGGACTGGGGATGGCATCTGCAGCAGCCCTTCCCCTGCCTCTCTGCTTGCAGTGCCCCAGGGTGGGCTTGAAGCAGATGCCAGGCTACAGCCAGCGTGCTGCAACTTGGCTCAGGTCTGGGTGCCCCTGGCACCACTGGGGTGGATGGGTCAGAGGGAGGGTGATGGTCCAGCCTTTCTGCCCTCAGGATGGTGCAAAACACCTGACACAGCACAGAGTGAGAGCCAGGGTAAACCAGATACTCTCTTAACTCACCAGATATTCTTATCTATTCCCTCCAGCCTCCGGGCTTGAACTGGCCTTGACATTTTTGCCTGCAAAGGGAGAGAGAGAAAGGGAGTTTGAAGCTTTCACTTGCCAATGGGTCCAGGCACAAATGGGCTGTGGCTCCCCAGGTGTGTTTTTCCCAACAGAAGGTGTGTCCTTTACTTATTGCTCCATGGGCTGTTGCTGACTGATCATAGAGCAGTAATGCTGTTGCAGTGGTTTCTGTTTTCATTTACAAGTTTCTACAAGAACTGGGAAAATAGGTGAACAAAAGAAGTGTTTGTACACTCACTGGGGAGCTGGCACAGCCTTAAACCTCATTATCAGTTGGGATAAATCATGGGGTCAAATGAGCTCAGCCAAGCTGTAACAGCCAGGCCAAGGACCCCAGATCTGAGGTTTTGCCTTCCATAACCTCTCCTGTCTTTCATTGGAGGGATCTCCTTACTCTCCACAAGCCACAAATTACCCCCTTTTCCTAGAATTACAAACTTTTTTATTCCACCCTGCTCTATAAATCAGCAGAAGTTGTTACTCCTTCATCCTGCTGAAGTGTTTGTTGAAGGGACTTGCCCTAGATCCTAGAAAATACGCTGGGATTTGTATTTAAGGTTCATGTCAAAACCAAGAGAGAGCACAGCACACAGGTCAGTCTGGGGCACAGAGACCCCGAGGTCCTGTGTGCCTGACTGGTGTGCAATTTCCATGTCCATTGTGGCTCAGGGGAGTGGGAAGAAAGACAGTAGGAAGCAGTGAGTGCAAAATCCTCCTTCCAGCTGGGTAAGCACAGTGGGAGAAGTCAGATGGGTTTGATGGGGAATTTATCACGAGGATGAAGAAAAGCGGCAGAGGCAGAATTTTGTAACTCAGTGGTGCAGGGAAAAGGTACCCAGACAGGCAAGGGACTGGAAACTGGGAATAAATGATGCTCATCACACCAAGAAGAGCTGGGGGCACAAGGAGGGCAGCCCTGAAGCAACGAGCCAAGAAAACTGTTGTCACCACAGCAAGTAAAATATATTTGATCCAGGACGAGGAGGGAGCGTGAAAGCAGCTGGGATGCAGAGCTGGGATGTGAGGGGGTCTGTGCTCTGCCCTGTCAGGATGGGGGGGGGGATTCCAGGTCAGCCCCCTCCCCAGCTTTAGCTGCAGAGCAAACTCCTCACTTACCTGCTCCCCTCCGCTGTTCCCACAGGGCTGCACCAGAATTTGGGAAGTGCCCCAGGGATATTTTGTGCTGAGGTCCTTAGATTCTTCTGCAGGTTTAGCCCTCACTGGGGATCTCTGCAAACACCCTGCTGAGGAGCCCTGTGTTTCAGAGGGCACAGGGTGGACTCTGCTCACTGTGGGGCCAGGCAGGCAGCCAAGGGCGAGCAGAAGTCGCTGGGTCTAAGGCAGCTTCTCTCCTCTGCCCCAGCCCCAGCTTTGCCCCTTCTGCACAAGCTGTTATGGTCACAAGACCTTGTGCCTGAGCTGATCTGGGTAAGAGTAGAAGGATTTGTGGCTTGGGAAGTAAAAAGCAGCAGAGGGGAGATATTAACAGCTCCAGTGCTGATCTCTTGAGGTGGGGCTGCTGCTGGTCAGCGGTCAGAGAATTTACCAGATCAGCAAGCCTTGAAATTCCCAGTTCTGAGGAAAGGCCTTGCCTGCTCCAGCCCTTTCAGGTGGTTTCCCATCAGGCTGTAGAACAACATAGGCTTGGGGCCACGCAGCTCCCAAATCTGTCTCAGCCTGTTCTGCTCCCCAAACTGAATGATGTGTTTCTCTAGTGCATTTTGCCTGGCAGCCACACAGGAGAGCTGAGTGCACGTGCAGGAGACCTGACATCCACCGCCTTCCACCACCAATTCCCTGCCATGTGACTCCCTTGCTCTGCACGTTGGGATCTCCGAGCGGGATGCTGATGTTTCCCAAGTACTTTGCCACCCAAGAGGTTTTAGTGGAGACCATCAGACAAGGCAGCCCCACAAAGAATGTGTGAAGGACATTCTCTTGCTTATGAGATGTCACCTTTAAACAGGCTCCCTGGAAATAAGGGGGTACAGAGATTGCACCAGGGGGGCTTTCCCTGATGAGCCCTCTCTGCTCTCGCTGCCAAGGTGAACTGCTGGGCAGTGAGCTCCCCTGGGCTCCTCACCACTGCAGCCTGAGCCAGGAGCAGGCTGCCAGCCAGGGACATCCCACTGGGCATTCCATACCTCTCTGGAGCACAAGCTATATCCAGCACTGCTCTTCCTCTCCAGCAAGAAGTGACGCAGGGACGGTCCCGCTCTCCTGAGCATTCCACAGCTCCTGCTGTCCCCCTGCTGCAGGCACGGACCTGCAATTGCCCAGACACAAAGGAGAGGGGGAGACAATCACTCCACAGCTGAGCAAGCACTCTGTACCTGGGGATGAGGCAGGTCCAGACCCAAAGCTGTGGCTGTTCTGCCACAGAAAGGACAAGGCAAAACGAGGTGCTCTGTGTGTTGTCACTGCAATGGCAAACAGTGCTGGGGCTGTACTTTGTGCCCATGGCACACCAAATCAGGATCACAAGGGCAATCATGACTTCTGCCTCCTCTCTCAGCCAGTCCAGACTTCCCTCACTTTCCTCTGCACCGAGGGGAGTGGAATGGATATCAGTGAGAGGGCATCCTCTGGGAATTTGGTATTCAGTGAAACCCTTTGGCTTCATCGATCCCAGCTATCTCTGGCCTCTGCCCTTCATTCCCTACAGCACCTCCACCTTCCTCACCAGTGGGGCTGTGCCTTGGCAGGGCTGTTTGGACACCCTGCCTGCCCCTTGGGGCTGGGCAAACCTGCTCCATACAAACCCATCTCAAGTTTATTTAGGTACTTGAGATAAAAGCAGTGAGTCTGGAGGATGCATGCACTTTTATTTTAATCAGCCACGGATTAATTTACCCAACTGTCAAAAAAATTAATTAAAACAGGTTTGAAGCTGGCCAGCCCACAGACAAGTTCTCAGTATTCCTGGGTGCACTTTCCATCCTTACGTGCAGGATGTGAGTCCTCACTGTTTGCATTTTGTGTTATTTCTATGAAAAGTGCAAAAGCAGCCACCAGCAGAGACCAGCGGGGTTTGACATCTCTTTGCCAGGTGGGAAAAACCAACACAATTTATGGAAAAATGGGAAGCCGGAGCATCACATTGCTCAGGACTGTGAAATCTCCCCCTCGTCCCTGTGTGAAGCACAGCTGCTCACTGGGGACAGGAGATGTGGGGGGACACTGCTTTGGGGTGCAAAGCAAATGAGTCCTGTAAAGAGGTGACAAAATTAAAGTCTGGCAGTAAAAAAACCCAGGCTTTTAACAGGTTGCAGAAAGCCATGGAGCTGGTGGGAGAGCTGGGCACGAGGCTCTGGCACAGGGCTGGAGGCAGTGCCAGGGTCAGGACAGCGCACGGTGAGGATTCTGGAGGTGACAACTGGAAGGTCACCGCAGGGACTGGCCACTCAGCACCTCCTGCCCTCCAGCCCACGGCCACCAGCCGTCTCCTCCATCCCAGTGCTCCCTAAACCCTCCGAGGCTGCCCTGGGGAGCACCCGGCAGGCTTTGGGGATAAAGGATCCCCCTGAGCGCGGGGTGCAGGAGCTCGGCAAGCGCAGCAGCAACGCCGGCAAGCGCCAACACGGAGGGACAAAGCAGCTGCCAGGGGGACAAGGGGGGGCAAAACCAACTTACATCAAGCTGGGCTGCGCTGGTTCACGCTGGGAAAGCCCGTCCCAGCCGCCCAGGCTGCCCTGGCACACATGGTGCCCTCTCCTCCTCCTCGAAACGCTTCATCTGCGCCCGGGACTTCCTGGGAGGAGCCGCGGAGGCTGCGGGAAGGCAGGATCGAGCTACGGCACTGATGGGGGGAAGCGTACCGGGGAAAAGGAGGGCTCGGGTGGCTCTCTGGATCACCGGGGTGAAGGGGGAGAGAGAGGGCTTTTGGAGGCTCAGAACCAGCGCTGCCAGAGGATTTTGGCTGCCTGGAAAAATATCCCGGTGTGTTGTTCAGATGGAAGCTCACGCCGGTGTAACTACGCGGGATAATTTTTGTGGTGGGGCAGTAGTTACTTCAGCGTGGCAATGGCAGAGAATTTCCCTTTGAGTGTTGAAAAAAGAATTTTTAAGCCAGTCAGACCCTCTCAACAATTTAATCCTGCAGATTTAGTATTTATTAGGGAAGGGGGTGGATCACAGGCAGAGAAAGCAAAAGCATAAGTGTAAAGTTCATCGGAAAATAATGACCTACTGTCACAACACAACCTAAAGCAGATCCTGCAGCATCCCCCGAGCCCTGGGCTGTGGATGGGCAGGGATAGCAACCTCAGAGGGGGATTTCACTGCAGGGATGCAGGAGCTGAACTCTCCATCGGTATTTGAGAGGCAACAGTTGCTGCACTGGGATGTAGAGAGCAAATTGTCCCCTCTTAGCTTCCCTCTTTTGTGACAAGGTTTTACCTGCCCCGATGAATCAGGCAATGTCATTCTCCTTGAGTGAGTAATTTCTGTCTCCCTTTCACAGGAGGAAAAAGTGAGCCACGGGGAAAGGAAGCAGCTCCATCCTCTGTGGCAAAGGTTCCCAACCCTGACCTGCCATCTGAGGCACCCCTGAGGTGACTAAGCAGGAGGGAATGTCTGGGCGGGCAGATGCAAACTCTTTGTTTTCTAAACTTCTGTCCGAAACCAACAGATGGAAGGAAAAGTGTAAGAGTGTAGAGAGCACATCCTGAGCCATCCAATCGCTCAGTGGTTTTTTTTTTTTCCCTGTGGTTTCTTTGCCCCCTTCTCTGCCAGACTTGTGCCTTCCCTGGTTGTCGTGAGCTGAGCTTGTTTGATTAGATAAATTAGCAAAAAGCCAACTGGGCTGAAAAGCTGCCAGTTTTCTGTCGGGTCTGTGAGCTGAGCTGGCTCAGGGCAGGGTGGGAGTGAGGGTGAAAGACGCTGCAAGGAAGCAGAAATGTGGGCAAGGACCAGAGTGGGAAGAAGGGATGGACAGGAGCAAGGGGCCCTTCTCTGGCAGGGTTTGGCCTTTATATTGGTTTGACGGTATCATGTAACTTCACCTTAATTTCCTCTTGAGATTCAGCAGAAATTGCTTGACACTGTGCACGAGGTCAGCAATGTAAAGGACACATCTGACCCTATACTTTGTACTGTAAGACTCCTGGAAAATTAGGACCCTCTTGAGGTAATTTTAATCTAACAAGTGCATCTAGACATGAACAATTCTTCTTAATTATTTTTTATTTTAATTTAGTTATTGCCCTGGGCCCTGGCAAGTGAGATCACAGCTCCTCTGGTACAGCTCCTGCGCCTGTGGCTACAGGAGGTTGCCAATATCTATAATATTCTTAGAAAGCCACAGATATACTTATTATAAAAATATTATATACTTCTTTTAGTGGTGTAAATATTACTGTGGTCACTGGTGTATACGAGTCAAAACTGGCTGCACTTAACCCCTCAGAACTGCCACTTGTACACTAATGAAATCACAATGAGCGCCTTTGAACCATCCCTTATGAGTTCAAAAAGAAATTATGCGCCCCGTGTCCTTCATTGAGTCAGGCGAATAAAAACAACCGCCAGTGAATCACTTTTTTTTTCAGGCACCAAAAACAAATCAGGGCGGTTGAAGGCGCTCCCTTGGTGCCCCTTTAAGAGCCGCCATTTTGCGCTCTGCCCTGCACCAAGATGGCGCCGCCGCCTTCACTCCCGCCCCCCCCGCCGCTATGGAGCGCGCCCTGCACAAAGATGGCGCCCGCCCGCGCCGTCGTGCCCGCCCGCAAGATGGCGGCGCCCCCCTCGCCCTGTGTGGTGGCGGGACGGGGCGATGGCGGCCGTGCGGGGGGAGGGTGAGGTCAGATCCGGGGCGGGGCGGCTGCGGGCAGGGCGGACAAAAGGCGGCCGCGGAGCGGCGTACGGGAGGGTGGGGGCTGCGGTCAGGTGGGTGCGGTGCGAGCCCCTCGCAGCCGGGTGCGGGCAGGTGGGTGCGGCGGGTCCCCTCACGGTGCGGGTGGGCTGTGGGGATGGTCCCGCCGTGGGGCGGCCGTGAGGGGACGGGGGACCGCGTGTCGGGGGCGGCTGAGGGGGCTCGGGGCGGCGGCAGCGCCAGGTGGGGCCGGGCGGGGGAGGATTTGCTGAGTAATTCGGCGGCGATTCGCTGCCCCCGGTCCCGCCGTCCCTGCCCCGCGCCGGCGGGGACAGGGGGGGTCCTCGCCGCGCCTGAGGGGCGAGGCAGAGCCGCGGGGTGCGGGGGGTCCCCCCGATCCCCGGCAACGAGGGGAGTCCTGGTTTTTTACCCGCTGTTCGTTACCTGCGGACGGAAGCGCGTTGGGGTTTATTTATATCTCCCAGAGGGTGTTTTTTCTGTGTCCGGAAAGCCGGGGTGGTGCGGCGGGGCTGGTGCCGGGCTGGGGCTGCTGCCCAGTGCCGGAGAGGGGGAGAAGGTCAGAGAGTCCTCCCGGCGCTGCCTTTGCGGCACCGTGGGATGGGTAAAACGGAACAGCTTTGATTTCTGAGGTGTTGCTTCAAAACCTGTCAGCCCCAATAGCAGCTTGGCGATCAGGAGAATCCTCACCGTTGTGTTTTTTGGATTTTCTTCTGTTGATGTCTCCTCTTTTTCGTTTCTCCCCGTTGTTGACAAAATGCTCTCGGCTGTTCTGCAGTCCTCTCCTGCACGGCTGGGAGGATGGATGCTTGAGAGATCCCTCCGAGGATCTGCTCCCTTCCCTGTTTTCCCATGCCCTGTGCTGACATGCAGGAAGCAAGGGGAAAAAAAAAAAAAAGCTGTTGTAATTTTTGTTGATGGTGCTAAACTGCTGCCACTTCAGAAAGATACATGTTAGTAGATATGGGCTGAGAGAGAAGGGGACAGTTGCTTGAATCTGGAGTGGTTAGGAAAGTAATCTAGACTTTCAGATGCTTGTGATGGTAACGTTTAAAATATGTCAGGCTTTTCAGATTAGAAAAGAGGAGTAAAGTCATCCTTTTTCCCATTTAAAAATAATTTGTTCTTACAGGAGGTTGGTCTGTCTCTGCCCATTTAGGCTTGGTTATGATATTAATATTCAGCATCTCCTTTGGCTGGGTCTGCAGCACCTGCTTGTGGTAATATCTGTTGGAATAACATGCTGGAGATTCCTTCCTGCAAAAAGTTTTACTTGGCTCCTTGTGTTCTTGCCATCTGGGTATCAGCGTGTCTCTTTTTGGTTCCCTCTGGGTTGTTCATTGCTCCTTAGGTATCCTTTACCAATTAGATGTCCTTTACCAAGCTTTTCCATGAGGGGGTCCCTCTGTGAACTCCATCCCCTCCTCTCTGCTGATGGTCTCTGTTTCATTGCAGGGAAGCTGTTCCCATGGCTTGTGGGGAGTGCAGCGCTTCAGCACTCGCTCAGGATCGAGCACACACGGACGTCATCCCCTTCCAGCACAGAGAACTGACGTGCAGATAGCAGAACCCAGCAAGGTGAGGGCTCTGAGCCAGCTCTGAGGGGTAAAGCACCCCCAAAAATGACCAGGTTCTTACTTAAACACAGATGCAAAGCACAGGGCATGGATGAAAGAATAAACAGAGCCAGGAGGAGGGGTGGTTGGTCAGAGGGTGATATGGGGAGAGTGATGGTGTTTAATTGTGGTGGTGCTAATTAAATTCTGCGAGCCCTTAGCTTGAAGATGAAAAAGGAACTGAGTGTTGTCCAGATAATATAACTGTTCTATAGTCACCCATAAACTAACTCCTGGCCACGTAAACCCTGACTTCTCACTGCACTTACCAGTAAATACTCAAAGGCTCTCCAGGAAATGTTTTGGTGACTGCTGCCCGAAAGGAATGTGGCTGAGAAATAGGAAGAACTGTTGGGGTTGGTTGGTTGGTGCCCTTCTGTTTCCTGTGGGGTGATTTGTCCTGCTGGATAGGCATCTCCAGGCAGCTTTTCCCTGTGAACTCTTGGCGCTTGTGTGGGTGTCAATTGAGCAATGACAGAAACTAGTTGCAAGAAACTCCTTCCCCTCCTTGGTTCTGCACTAGGACAGTGAGGAAAGGGATTGCAGAATTCTGTGCTTGTTCAGGATGGGAAATTGTGTCCAGTGTTCTGAGCAGGGATTTGCAGTGACTTGATTCCGGAATAGAAGTACCCCTAAGGCTTGTCTGATGTTCTGGCAGTTCACTGCTTTAGTTGAGGTATTTTTGTACTGATCCTCTCATGGCATTTGGAAACCCTTTTAATTCATGTGGGTCAAAGACAACGTGCATAAATATTTCCTTAAAGCATGCCAGAAGCCATGTGTTAAAAGCTGATGTTGCCCTGTTTGAAATGGGAGTGCCTGAAGCCTTCCAGCCATGACTTGTTAAAGCTGGTTACATTCTGGTAACTGCTGCAGGCAGTCGGGCCTTTGGGGGTCCCTTGTGCTATTTTTTTCTTGTTTTGTTTTAAATAACCAGTGGAGGTCACATGTATCAAGTTATTGCTGTGTGATTAGAGCAGGCTTATTAGGAGCCTTCGTGTAATTCTCCCACATTCTAAAGGATTTTGTTCAGCAGAGTACTGAAAAGGGAAGTGAAACTCATTTCTGGTGTTAAATGGAGCTTAACTGGTATCTGGGAAAGTAGAGGTGCAATGTCAGGTGAGTGGTGGTGAGGCACAGAGGAGAAGGGTTTTTTAGGATTTTTGTGGGGGGCACATTGTTTTGGTAGTGGTTAAAATTTGAAGTATTCAGCTGCAGTGTGGTGAGTCTCCTTTGGGCATTTTTTGGAATGTTTTTAAGAGCAGCCTCAGTTTGACATATGCACACTAATACTGAGCAGGCATTCAGCAGTCCACATGCTTTAAAGGGCATCTCTTGAGTGCCTCCAAACAGCTTTCTCCCTAAACTGTTGATGTGGTGCATGTGTCTTGTATTGCAACTGGAAATCCAGTTCATGTAGCTGGGTTATATCTGCCCCTCCTGCTGCTGTCAAACAGCTTTGGAAAATAAGAGCTATTCAGTCCTGACCTCCCTGCTGACATAACAGTGCTGCCTTCACCTTGTGTACTAAGCATTGTTAACATCTGCTGCAAAATTGCCTTGGCAATTCACAAAGCTCCTCTTGTGACAGATTCTCAAGCTGCTTCTCGAGCTCCAGCCTGTTTTTGTGCCCAGCAGAGATGGGTACTGGGCTAGTTAACAGGTCCTCCTTCAGAGCCATGATTTTATCAGGTCCTTTGGGGATGAAAGGTGGGGTGGTCTGTGCTTCTTTAGTTGATTGATGCAGTTGGCAAATGTTCTGAGCTGGAATTCAGTCACGGTTTTGGAGCTTGTGGTCCTGAGGGCAAGGCTTAGAGGGTGTGGGAAATATGTGAATAGGTACTTGCTGCTCTTTGCTCGGACTGGTGATGGTTGATGTCTTAATTATCTTGCTTTGCTCTTTTCTGTGCCTTCTTTCATCCTGACTGGCTCATCTCTTTGAGCTTGAAAACAGCTGTGGCAACACCCATGGGTTTGTGCATGTTGTGACAGTCTGTCAACAATGCATTATATTATCCTTGCTTAAAAGATTTTACTCACTTTGAATTCAGTGTCTGGATTTCTTAATCTGGTTTTGGTTATGTCAAAGCTCTGCTCTGTCCACTATTTCTGCCTTGAGCTGAGAACAGCTGGTTCCTCCCCTTGTGTGGCTCCCAGTGCTGAATTTAAGTGCTGAAGAGCCCCTTCCTGCAGCTCCTGAGGTGGTTGAAGCTGCTCCAGTTGTTACATGTTAATGCTGGGGCTGTCTGGTTTCTTAAGGAGTTACAGAATTAATTCAATCACCTGCACTAGGCAGCACAAGCGAGTGTTTCATTGTGTCCTGTTGGAAGAAGCCAGTTGTACTTTTCCAAGACAGCTCCAATGCCCTGTCCTTGAAGCATCTTTGTTATGGCAAAGAAAATTAATTTTGGATAGGAAGCCTGTGGCCATGTGCATTCATAATTTATAAGCTGACACAGCCTTTTTTCCTCTGGTTTACATCAGTGTTGCAAGTCATCTGATGGCACTTAAATTTACAACACTGGCACACAGTCCCTGCCCCGAGTGTCAGTGATGCTGGTAACTGCAGACTGTGCTCAGTTCTGTGAGCTGGGGCAAAATGCTGTCAGAAAGCACAAAATGTGCCAGGCCAGGCCAGGCCAGGTCTCCAGCATGGATTGTCCTGGTGGTGCAGATGTTCTTCCCTGTACTTGTCAGGACATGCTGGGGTGGTAAACAGGAGCTGCTGCACTAGACTTAAGAATGTCAGTCTTGCATCTGACAGGAAGAGTCAACTAATGGGTAGCTGTAAAGATGATGAAGTGCCATTCATGTTGTAGGTGGATTATTGCTTTTCACGAGCTTCACAGAGACAGTGTGACCCAGTGGGTTCACCTCATCTTGCTGTGTCTTGTGGCTTGGGTGGGGCAGAATTTTGTGTGAAAGCCACCTTACCCTGCTCTCAGCCTGGGGTTCAATGCCTGTTCCACTGAGTGAAGAGTGTAAGTTCTTGCAGCTGCTGTTCCACCACTCTGCTGGTCTAAATGGTAAATGACCCTTCAAACTTGACACAGAATCACAGAATGGTTTGGGTTGAAAAAGACCTTAAAGAACTTCTGGTGACCACGTTCACTTCTCTGCCTCGGGAGATGTTTTGTTCCTCAGAAGGGATTTATTTTTTTAATACAGAAGAGGCCTGATACAGGGAGAACAGTGGATTGTTCAGGGCTTTGGCATCTGGCTTCACTGTTTTTTCTTTCTAAACAGCAAAGGACAAAATAACTTGACTTGTTCCATCTCACATCTTGGGCTTTTCCCATTGATCACGTGGCTGTCCTTGTTCTTGGAAGGTTTTCTGAGGGGTGCCTGAAAGCAGCTCTGTTTCAGACTCCTTACTTTTTTTCCCCTCTTAATTCTGGACTTAATAAACGTGGGGGAGGAGACACGTAAATTCCCAGTCCCATTTCTGCCCACGAAAGCTCTTGCATTTCCTAATTTTTCGAACAAAGAGCTCTGTGTCATGCCCTTCTTTAGGATTTCAGGTGGCAGCATGCTGGAGAGGGAAACTGCTCCATTGTAAACTTACTGTAACGTGTTGGAGCTCGTCAGTAATCAGGGCTGTAGTTTTAAGAGCATCAGAGGTTTTCTGTCCTTTATCTACCTCTGATTCTGTCAGCACCTGAACAAGTCCCTCTTTGTCTGGGCTTCTGAAAGGTAAGAAGTTCCTCAGCAGTGCTTGACTTCTGCTTTGCAGTCCACAATCTTAGAGTGAAAACCACGGGGAATTATGATTATCTGTAGTGGAAAAAAAAAGTTGCAAGGTCCAGCATAAAATGCATCCACACCTGCTTACCTAGAACTGTATTATGAGACTGCCTCACTTGAAAGCTGCACTCCACTAAAGGTGAGGAGGATTTCTGATTTCAGGGAAGTAAGGGTGGAAATTAAATTCTTGTGCAGGTCCTGAGATCTTGCATGTAGTGCCCTTTGTCCAGTAGCTTTGTTAGTAACAGAATGGCCAACAGCAAGGAGGAGGAAAGAGGAGGCTGGGTGAGGTATTCAGCAGTGATGAGTCAAGCTGACAAACTGGCCAGTGAAACACAACAGTGATGTTGTTTCTGTTCCCTCTGTCCCGAGCTGGATGTGCTGGCCGGTGGCTGCAGGCAGGGATTTGAAGCACTGCTCAGCCAGGTGCCTGTTGACAATAAGTCAGTCTCAAGTTTTTTTAGATTAGGTGGTTTTGGCTAGAGGAATTGTCCAAATTGGAGAACAGTTGCTCTGTTAATAGCTGTGGTTTGTGGAAAGCATTCATGCCCTCAGTGAGGTGCACGCTGCTTTATAGGTTTAGTCTTGTCTCTGCCTGGTTTTGCTGTGTAGGTGTGGTGTGCTCAGAATGTGCCTGTTATTCTGACATGAGTGATTATCTTTCTCCTCCAGGTGTGTCTGGTAAAACACAGGATTAGTCCTTGGTGATGCTCATGGTTGGCTGAAGGCCGGGTAGGTTTGGCAGGCTGGTTATGTAAGTCTGAAACTGCTGTTCCCTGTCTGGGATCAGCCTGTTCAGCACTGGGGAAGCTGGAGGCCCATGGCCCAGCAGGCTGAGGCAGGGATGATCCCTGGTGGGATGCAAACCTGAATCCAGGTGAATTTGCAGACACTGAAGGGGTATGTAGTAGCTAAACATGGAATGTGTCAGTATTTCAGGAGCATATTTGTCTAGGTTGGATTGATCCTGCTGCAGTTGACAGAGATGCGTTGATTTACCAGCTTATGCAAGTTTAGTGAAATCAGCTTGTCCTTAAACTCGAGTAAAGCACTCTTTCAGAATCTCAGTATCAGTGCTTTCCATGGGGCAGAGGTAACTCTGCCAAAACTGCTCTGACACTGAACTTGCTTTGCTGTGGCTGTTCCTGTCCATGAAGTCAGTCCCTCAGTCCAGGTGTTCTTGCTCAGCCTTTGGTGAGGCTGCATGACAGGAGGGACTTGGCAAATAAAGCTTCTTCTCAGTGAACACTTTGCTGCTGACAAAGCAGCCTGGAGTGCAACTCCTGGAAGGAGCAGAAGCTTGAAATCCACTGTCTGCCTGCTGGTCCTGCAGAGCTTGGTCTGGTCTTGGTCACAAGGCAGGGAACTTTATTTCTGGCCAGCTGCCTTCATGCAAGGATTGCTCCCAGTCTCATGCAGGAATAATATCCTCCATGGAAAATCCTGTCTTGGTGTAGAACTTCCAAGAACTTCTAGTTCCATAGGAAATCTGGGTGAGGAGGGATGTGACTTTGCCATCTACTTTCTCAAGTTTTGATGGGTACTTTCCCTTTTAGTGCAGATGCTGGGAATCAGGTTGGATAAGAGGCAGCAAATTCCAGCTTCTGTAAAGGTGGCCCCTCGTTTTATTGTTCCTCTCTGAGACTTGAATGGGGTCTCCACTGCTGCCAGGAGGAGTGGGGACTTGCTGTGAATGTCCTTTTCTTCCTCCAGTGACCCTGTCATTGTTACTGGAAGGCAGGATTTCCTGCTCCACCCTGTGGGGGTTTAATTGCTGACACTGAGCTGTAATAGATTCTCATGGGACACTCAGGGTTTTTTTTTTAGCTGTTTTGTAGGTGCACAATGTAAAGGGGGATTTCCTAGCCCATGTAGCTGGTAAGCAGGATTATGGAGCCAGCTGTGCTAATTTCTTGTTGGTTTCCTTCCTACCTATCCTGAGATACAAATCAAAAGTGAGCACAAAGGTCTTGTGAGGAAAAAAATTAGACATTTTCTGGCTTGAGCAAAACTAGTAAACCCAGTAAGGAGTTGTTCAAATGGAGAACACTTCTCACAGGTACAGGTACTGGAACAGGTACTGCTATTTTGTTGATCAAAATTCACGTAGAGTTTCCCCAATCTGTCTTTTGTGAGGGGTTAATGCAGTATTGGACCTGGAGAAACATAAGGAGAAACACTACTTGAGGAATGCCTGTCATCTGTCAATCTCCCACCTCTTGCAACCTTCCCCAGTAGCACTGAGTCAAAGCTGTCAGGAGACCATTTACCAATATAAACAGCAAACCAGGGAGTACAGTTCTGTATTCAGCATCTCCAGGGAATGTGGTGCTTTTGGAGTCCCTGTTTCTCTTTGCAGTTCTGGGCTGAAAGTTCATTTTAAATCAAAACTTGAATTCTGCCAAAGCAGGGGGTGTGGGCACCCCCTTGTCACAGGAAGCTTTGTCCCACCCAGGGGTATCAACCCTGCAGGCCCCCAGGGCTTGTTGGACTGGTTGTACACATGAAATCTGGTGGCTTGGGGAAACACAACTGAATTTTGGCTCTTCCTCCTTTACACTTGAATTCATGGGAGTTTTGAAGTGCCTGACAGATCAGTGCTTGTTCTCCTCCTGAACTCTGCTAGAAAGTACGAGGTGATATTACTGCTTTTTCATCATCGTTAGAATGAGTTACAAATACTGCACATTCTTTTGTGTTACCTTCAAATTGGGGAATTCTGTGAGCTCAGTTATCCATGGATCAGTCAGTTATCCATGGATCAGTCAGTTATCCATGGATCAGTCAGTTATCCATGGATCAGTCAGGCTTCCGGGCTTTCTGTGAGTTGTTGAAGAGCACGCTCAGAGTTTCATCTGGAAGTTGGAAGGACAGAACATGCACTGCCACAAAGCCTCCGCTTCCCAGAACCTTTTGCTTTCCTTTGTGACACTTAAATCCCAGCTGAGATGAACTCTAGGTGGGAATGGCTGGTCAGGGAAGAGGATTCTTCGAAGTATGTTCCCCCCTTCCTCTGTTTCTGAAGTAAATGAGACAAAAAAACAGCTGTTACAGGGTTTCAGGACTGAATCTATCAGAGGGCAAGTAACTAATCTTTCCCTAGAGAATTACTCAAAGGGAGGAAGCCAAAACTGCTTCCATGGAAAGAAAAGTCATGATATTGGGCAATGTTTGCTTTATGAATGTGATGATGGGTTGCATCAGTTAAGTGGTTCTGGGAAATACAGTTGTATTGTATGTAGGTCTTTTTCCTTGCCCCTGCAGTTTGAGAACCACACAGAGACAGGATTTTTATGTGAAAGCAAACAACATGAGTAACAAACTCATGACAGCTAATCTCTGTGTGTGGATTTTATCCCTTCTAACAGTGCTGGCAAACTCCTTCATCCCTGAAATAGAATCCCCGGATAAAACAGTAAATTTCCAAATACTGGTCAATCAAGGGAATGTGAAATCTGCTCTGTGAGCTTCCTTTAAGTGTGAATGTTTTGCTTCACAAACTGCTAATGATAAACACCAGTTGTGAGGTTTTGTGACAGTTCATCTGTCAGGGAAGACTGAAATGAACTTCCCAGCCTCAGCTGTGGCAAGTGACTCACAGGAAGCCTCATTTATTTGTCTCCCAGTGAAATTGTGTCTTGGCTAATTCCAGTCTTGCTGTGCCAGCGCTTAACAGGAGCGTTGTGATGGCCCCTTGTGAAGCAGAACAAAACAGTTTGAGCTGTCTCTGGTTTCCCTTCAGGTGAGCCATGATTCCAGTCACCGAGCTGCGCTACTTCGCCGACACTCAGCCGGCCTATCGCATCCTGAAGCCGTGGTGGGACGTGTTCACGGACTACATCTCCATCGTGATGCTCATGATCGCCGTGTTCGGGGGGACGCTGCAGGTCACCCAGGACAAAATGATCTGTTTGCCCTGTAAGTGGGTTACCAAAGACTCTTGCAATGACTCCGTGAGGGGATGGACAGCGGCAACCCCGGAGCGTAGCTACTTTAACACTAGTCTGGTTCCCTCTGCGGACACGGGGCCCACGGGGATCCGGTACGACCTGGACCGGCACCAGTACAACTACGTGGACGCGGTGTGCTACGAGAACCGCCTCCACTGGTTTGCCAAGTATTTTCCTTATCTAGTGCTGCTACACACCCTCATCTTTCTGGCTTGTAGCAACTTCTGGTTTAAGTTCCCAAGGACCAGCTCCAAGCTGGAGCATTTTGTGTCTATTTTGCTGAAATGTTTTGACTCTCCCTGGACAACGAGAGCGTTATCTGAGACGGTGGTGGAAGAGAGCGACACCAAACCGGCGTTTGGGAAAATGAATGGCTCCATGGACAAGAAATCCTCCACGGTCAGCGAGGATGTGGAAGCCACTGTTCCCATGCTGCAGAGAACCAAGTCTCGAATTGAGCAAGGCATTGTGGACCGCTCTGAGACCGGTGTGTTGGACAAAAAGGAAGGGGAACAGGCCAAAGCGCTCTTTGAGAAGGTGAAGAAGTTCCGCACTCACGTGGAAGAGGGAGATATAGTTTATCGCCTGTACATGAGGCAGACCATCATCAAAGTCATCAAGTTCATTCTGATCATTTGCTACACCGTGTACTACGTCAACAACATCACCTTCGATGTGGACTGTAAGGTGGACATTGAGAGCCTGACTGGCTACAGGATGTACCGCTGTGCTCACCCTCTGGCCACTCTCTTCAAAATCCTGGCCTCTTTCTACATCAGCCTGGTGATTTTCTACGGGCTGATCTGCATGTACACGCTGTGGTGGATGCTGAGGCGGTCGCTCAAGAAATACTCCTTCGAGTCCATCCGGGAGGAGAGCAGTTACAGTGACATTCCTGATGTGAAAAATGACTTTGCTTTCATGCTCCACCTGATCGATCAGTACGACCCCCTCTACTCCAAGCGCTTTGCTGTCTTTCTGTCCGAGGTGAGTGAGAACAAACTGCGGCAGCTGAACCTCAACAACGAGTGGACTCTGGAGAAACTGCGCCAGAGGATCACCAAAAACTCTCAGGATAAGCTGGAATTGCATCTTTTCATGTTGAGTGGCATTCCTGACACGGTCTTTGACCTCATTGAGTTGGAGGTCTTGAAGCTGGAGCTTATCCCTGATGTCACTATTCCCCCAAGCATTGCTCAGCTCACCAGCCTTAAGGAACTGTGGCTCTACCACACAGCTGCCAAAATTGAGGCTCCAGCCCTTGCCTTCTTGAGGGAGAACTTGAAATCTCTCCACATCAAGTTCACGGACATCAAGGAGATTCCTCTTTGGATTTATAGCCTGAAGACACTCGAGGAGCTTCATCTGACGGGGAATTTGAGCGCTGAAAACAACCGGTACATCGTGATAGATGGACTGAGGGAGCTGAAGAGGCTGAAGGTGTTGAGGATGAAGAGTAACCTCACCAAGCTGCCCCAGGTGGTGACAGATGTTGGTGTGCACCTTCAGAAGCTTTCCATCAACAACGAGGGCACCAAGCTCATTGTCCTCAACAGCCTTAAGAAGATGGTCAACCTGACAGAGCTGGAGCTGATCCGGTGTGACCTGGAACGCATTCCCCACTCCATCTTTAGCCTCCACAATCTGCAGGAGATAGACCTGAAGGACAATAACCTAAAGACCATCGAGGAAATCATCAGCTTCCAGCACTTGCATCGTCTCACTTGCCTTAAGCTGTGGTACAACCACATTGCCTACATCCCCATGCAGATAGGCAACCTGACCAACCTGGAGCGCCTTTACCTGAACCGCAACAAGATCGAGAAGATCCCCACCCAGCTCTTCTACTGCCGCAAACTGCGGTACCTGGATCTCAGCCACAACAACCTGACTTTCATCCCACCAGATGTTGGGCTTCTTCAAAACCTGCAGAACCTGGCTGTGACAGCCAACAGGGTAAGTGGGCACAGAGCTGAGCTCCTGGGTGTGTAAATAACGCTGGCACTCGTGTTATCTGGGTGGTTAAACCTTCCAGAGCGGTCTGCGGGTACTGCTGGCACTGCCTTTGTTTCTGTCTGCGGGGTTTATCTAAGGCAAAACATTGCAGATAACTCCTGGCTAAGCCTGTCTTCCAAGAGCCCTTGTTCTGTAGCATTTCCTCTCTTAACAGTGAGGCTCCTTCCAAGTAACAGTTGGAGGCTGTTTTGGAAATCCTGCCTGCAGTTGGAAGTTTGTCCTCTCTTGACTGACATCTGTTTTGGGCTTAAAGTGGAGATCTGAGAAACGAGTCAATCTAAAACCTGTGTACTTCAGGTGTTTACATACACTGTGGCAGCAGCCATCTAGGGTGTGCATGGCTTACAGCCTTGCTTGGAGTACTTTTTGCATTTCCAGGGAATGCTCCACAGTTTGGTCTTGTAAGTGAGAAGCTGGATATGGGCAGAGTTGGGAAAAATGGTTCTTAAGCTCTCACTTTTAGGATGGATTGTCTCCTTCCACACAAGAGTACTTCTGGAGGGAGCAAAGCATCTTCTGCAGTGTCCTGGCTCAGGGCAGGGGGAGCTAAACCAGGTTTATCAACTGGCAGTCAGATGGAAAAGTGTGAACTGTGGAAATTCCTTGACTTTCAGAGGGGAGAAAATATGATGGCACCTTGCTGTGGTTTTTCCCATGTGTTTCCAGATGGGTGAAGTCTAAGCCTTACATTTCAGTCTCAGTGCAGGGGAGATTACAGGGAATGACCAAATGTGCCCAATTACCATAAACTGTTTCTTGGCTTGTGTTGGAGGGTGTTTTATTTGCTTAAAGCAAACTGGACCCATGTGTTTTTTTCTGAATCTTTGTTCCTTTGTTTGGGACTAAGAAGATTTCATTTACCATGTCTGACAAAGTTGAAGCTTTCATTCATTCCATCTGCAAATTCCTGGGACGCTTTTTCTCTTGGAGTTTATTATCACCCAAACAGAGCTAATTAGGTGCTTCTGGGTTCTTCTGGGATCCAGCAGAATTGTCCTGGAGCAGTGCTGGTTTCCACTGTCATACACCAAGGCCCTTAATGCTGTTGGCAAGATGCAGTCCTGACTGAGCACTGCCAGATTGCCTGTGAGACACACAGAGCAGCTCAAGTGTGCTTTGGCTTTTCACAGAAGTGCTCTCCAGTCAAGTACTTAATTGCTGCTGCAGTTCAGTTTTACACAGCGTTCCTAAAACTCCAGCCACGGTTTGGGGTTGGTGCCTGAAAGTTTGGGTCTGTGCTGTGCCTCTGCAGAGGGGCAGCAGATGAGGAGTTCAGCAATCCCAGCTGAACAGCTGCTCCCTCAGCTTTCCCAGCACTGGATCTGTTTGTGTGGGTGGCTGAAGCTCTGGTGAACTTCGTGGTTTGTTGCTGGTCAGAGCTCAGATGATTCTGTACCAGTTGTTTCCTGGCAGCCCTCCAGGCACAGCACAGGGTTAATCTGCAGTGCATCCTCTGCAGTTCAGGGGTGGAGCGTTTCTTGGATGAGAGGAGTTGGAGGCAGCTCCATTTTCTGCAGCACAGGGTGGCACCACCCAGTCCTGACAAAAACATGCACCAGGAAGGCTGGAGCAGCCTTGGCTCGGGTGTGTTTGGAAACAAAAGGTGGTGAGGACCCAGTGGAACAGCCAACCTGTTTGTGTCCTCTGCAGGTGCCTGGGCAAGGCCAGAATTGCCCTGGGGCTCTGACAGCCTGGTTACTCCCAGTAAACAGCAAGGAACACAAGGACTGATAGCCTGGCAATTCCCAAGGCCTGGAATTATTTAACTGTGAGCTCAGCAGTCTCAGTAAATAGAGACTTCTGGAGTTGGCTGGTACAACTGTCCCATTCTGGAAAGCAAGGCTGTTACAGCACATTGCTTCCTTCCTAAACCAATACTTGTCCCTTAAATAACACTATTCTTTTCCAGAGCCTGTGATCATTTGATTGCATGTTGCTGTTTGCAAAACACTCCAGTACCAGTGACAATGACTGCATTGAACTGTCTCTAATTGGTCTGGTCTCATCTTGGCTTTTCCTTAGGCTCCCCCTCATTCAGAATGGATTACAGGCTAATTTAGCCATGAATGATATCATGCATAGTTTGAGTTTTAAAAAGGTCATGTTTGCATTTAAAGGCAAATGATAGCCTCCAACTGAGACTTTGAATTACGGGGAGGATCTTGAATTGCTGTGTTTAGTCCCTAGCCTAGTGTTTGTTAAGCCTTAGCCATGGTGCTTTCCTAGGAATTCTCTGGGAGGACTGGACTATTAAAAGGATTTGCTAAAAATAAGCCTTATTAAATCAGTGATTCCTGGTTACCTGAAGGTGGTGGGGGGAAAGCTACCAGCTGGTGGCTTCATTTTGCTGTTGTTGTTGCATTTTGGCACTGTCAAAACCCCCCAGGATTTGAGGCCTAGGAAATCTCTGCAACATTTCCCAGCTCTCCAGAGATGATGACAGAATAGTCCCAGTTCTCAAGGCCTGGAGGTTGTACCCAGGTAGCCTCTCCCAGCCGAACTGGAGGTCCTGACTAAATCCAGTCTTTGATGTTCAATATTAAAACCAATTGTGCAATGGCTGCTTAAAGCAAAGGGGCTATGATCCAATGACAGAATAAAGGATTTGGGATGGAAAGGATGGAAGGATATGATGGCTTAGGTCAGTTGTGAGCAGGTTGCTGGTCCTCTAACCCTGTCCTGGGGATCTCTTGTGACTGGAAGATGAGTGCATAGAAATGTCTGAAGGAAGAGTCCATAGAATCATGGGATGGTGGCTTTTACTTTGGGAACAGACCTTAGGATGGAAAGCAGGAGCTTATTAAGGGAGAAATGGATGATTGAAAACATTTACTCCTTAAACCTCGAAGCATCACGTGGGCCCGCCGGTCCCTTACCGTGTCCGTGTTTGCCGCAGACCTTGCCCCTGACTGATTTCTTTCTTCCAGATTGAGAGTCTCCCACCAGAGCTGTTCCAGTGCAGGAAGCTGAGGACCTTGCACCTGGGCAACAACGTGCTGCAGTCACTGCCCTCCCGGGTGGGGGAGCTGACGAACCTGTCGCAGATCGAGCTGCGAGGGAACCGCCTGGAGTGCCTGCCCGTGGAGCTGGGGGAGTGCCCGCTGCTCAAACGCAGCGGGCTCGTGGTGGAGGAGGACCTGTTCAACACCCTGCCCTTGGAGGTCAAGGAGAGGCTCTGGAGGGCAGACAAAGAGCAAGCCTGAAGCCCTGGGAAAAGGGAAAAGCCTCTGACCGACTCGAAGGAAGCAAAAGGCCATTCCAGCCCCCCTTTTCCCCAGATGCTCCCCTTTCTCCACTCCGATCACTACCAGACTGGCCAAGGAGTCCTTGACAAACGTGACTCATTCACAGTCAGCTTCTTGCCTCAGATGCAGGATGGGGGAAGCTTGGGATCAGGCTGAGGATCAAGACAGATTAATCAGCCTCTGAGCAAGGGCCAGTAGGAGTTAGAGGTGTTGCTGTTCTTCTGGACAGGAACTGGGGTGAGGTGGATGGTGCTGGTGAGAAAAAAATGACCTTTGAATGGAGGAGAAAAGGAATGTGGGGATTGCTGCATTGCTCCAAATAGGGCTTATATGTACCAGGGACTGAGAGTCCAGTGTCCTGCAAGCAGAGACCAAGAGCCAGGAAACCTCTTGAACTGTTCCCCTCTGACTCAGATCCAGTCAGGGAGGCCCCCAGTGGGGTGGGATGGGACACAAACAGCTGATTTGACCTGGGTGCTGGCATTGGGATTTGGGGGATAAACATCTCACAGCTACTTGAATGCAGGATTTTTTTTTTAAACTAATTATCTTTCCCCTTTGCACTCTACACCTTTTTCCTCTGCCCCTGGAGAAGGAACCAAACTATCTGCTCCCTTAAGATTGCACTACTTTAATGGTTTCAAGTCACTTGTGCTGATGAGTAGATCACGCAGCATCCTCCTCCAGCTGATGTGCTGGAGGCACTAACTGACAATTCCAGAGCTTTAGCCTGTTCTGAAGTGGATGGTTACAGTGCAAGTGAGAGATGAGCTGGATGAAGAGCAATTGGACTATCTAATCTACTGTCCCACAAGCATCGAGTTGCTTCAGGATCTGGCTTTTAGTTTTCAAGCAACTTTTTAATTGCTGGTATTTTGTTGCATATCGAGTATTAACATACAACTGGCCAGTGTGTCAGGGCTCTCCTGGGCTTGGAGAGGAAACTCAGGTTTCCTCTGCACCTCTTGTCCCCCATCTCGACTTCCCCTACAATCAAGTTGTTGGATGAAGTCTCTGCCGGTGTTTTCCATGGATGCAGAGCTGCTTGGTTGTTGTTCTCCTCCCTCTAACAGCTGTCAGTTCCTGTTACACCCCCTGACCTAAATAACAGGTTAATGCTGGTTGAACCTGGTGCTGGAAAAGAAACCTTTCCTCCTGTTTCTTCCCCTTTGCATTCCCTCAGTGTTAAGGAGGAGAATGAGAATCCTCTGTGGACTGAGCTCTTCTGGCTCCCTGGAACAGAACAGCCTTTATTGGAACAAGTCTGACCTGTTTGGTATTCTTTGACAAAAAGCTCTCAGCCTCCTGGCCTGGCAGAGGCAGAAAATGTGTGATAGCTCCTGGTAATCGTGTCCTTAAGGTGGGTGGACAGGGTGTGCCTCCGGTACTCCGAGATCTGCGCTTTCCCATCGGGAGGAAGAGGAAGCTCCTGGGCCTACAGGTCCTGGTTGTCACATTCTGCAGCAGCCCAGCAGGTTGGCTGTGAGGTGAAGTGCTGCAAGCTGAGGCATGAGAAGTTTGGAGGCCTCCCATGGGTGCAGAGGGGGAAGCTGCATCCAAAGTGATCCCTGGCGAGCTGCCAGCGAGTGCCCTGCCTTAGGGAATTGTGGTGATCCCTGGATGTTGGGGCAGTCAGGCACACCGTGGCTTTCTTCATCAGATGTAAGATATGAATGATATATATATATATATCCTAAATATGCTGAAACCATGAACAATGTTAACTGGACTCTGGATTTGTTGATGTTCAGACGCTTAAATAAAGCTACGTTAAAATCAGGAGATCTGTTTATAAAAACTGCTTTTAAGAAAAATGTAAATTTTGCTTCCCTTAGTCCATTCATTATGAGAAGTTTAAACAGTCCAGAGGATAATATAATTAAATCTCCATCTGGGAGGCAAGGTACTGTAAAAGCTTTTCTGGCTTCTAATAGGGTTAGTGTCTTGAAATTGTGTTAGAGTTGGGGCCACTGCTGAAAGGGTGGGGAAGGACTGATGCTGATTGGATTGGATTGGATTGGGATTTGCACGAGCATTTTGGATCACACAAACTGTTAGGTGGGCTTATGCTTCTTGAGTAAAGCTGCAGTAATGCTGTTTTCCAGTCAGTTCCCTATGGTGGATGTGGGAGCTGTTTGGATGGTGAAGGAAACTGCTTTTTTCCCCCCTTACTCCGTACCAGAAGGTAGTGATGGAGAGTAATGGCACTGCCTGGAACTTGAACTCTGTTTGCTATCCAAGGCCACTGGGAACTGCTTTATTACACGTGTATTTTAGACTAGGCAGGGCTGAAAGGGCAAAGCACTTCCCAGGAATTTCACCTGGCTCCCAGGAGCAGAGGGATTTCTCCTGGAGGTCTGGACAGCAGAGGAGTGCTTTGACTCTTGATTGCAGCTGTGGTCTTAGTTACCCAAAAGTTACCCAAACTCAGCTTTGCCCAGCTGAGTTAGAAGTTTCTCTGAGCAGCTCCTGGAAGTGCTGCAGTGCTCCTAGAAGCTTGCAAGGCTCCAGACCTACTGTAGATCCCAGACTGCCCTGGGCTGAGCTCTGAGATGGGCCAGTATTGATCATGCATTAAAACAACAGCTTTGTGCTGCTCCTGCAATATTCCAACCTTAACTTTTTTGGTTATGCCTGCCAGGGCTTGAGAAACACCTGTGTGGCAAAATTGGGATGAGCAATCTGGTGACAGTTTGTGCCATAAACAGGGGTGGCACAAATGCATTGCCACTCTGAAAGAGCAATATGTGTTATTTACTCCTGGTCTGTGCTGCTCGGTCTCCCTTCAATACCTACAGATTCCAGAGTATCTCTTGTATGATGAGGTGGAAAAAGCTTTAAAACTTCCAAGGACAGGGTCTAGACCGTGATGGACTGAGGGACTGCTGCAAAACTTGTCTGGATTGCTCAGTCTGTGAGGGATGAGCTCACATCAGCAATCCCTCCTCACTTGCAGGTATTCAGTCAGTGAATATTCCCTGTTTTCCCTGAAGTTTCCATCAAACTGAAGTTCAGGGCATTTGTTTCTGACTCTGGGTGTTCACAAAAAGCAGTCAGTGGCCTGGCCAGTGTCTTGTTCTCCTGACAGGCTTTTCAAAGCACTCTGGTAGTAGCAAACCAGATTATTTATTAGCTGCTCAACCACACAGCAACTTGAATTAAACCCACCTGTTTCCTTAATAGCACTTCTGAGCTGATCTTGAAGATCCCAGACAGGCTCATGCCGTGTCAGCACCCAAGGTTTGTAACCTGCACTTTACCTTCCCTGCTAAATAACCCAAAAAGTGAGGCATTGCAACTAATTGTGTTGAACCAGCTGAAAAGCAAGGAATACCAAACCTATGAATTGTGTTAAATCGTGCTGTACTCTGACCCTCTGCACTGGAATGTGAGCTGAAGTTGTCCTGTGTTTCAGATGCTTCCCGATTTTGTTATTTGATCCCCGGTTAAATCAGCAGCTGGAAGTGATTTACTGTGCCAGTCTGAGTGGATAAATAGCTGTTACAGGTATCTTTCATGATGTGCTGTTGTTGGTATTAATTGTCACTTCCTGATAATATCCTACCTCATTTTTTATTTTTTTCTTATTACCATTTATATGCTCCATTTAGCTCACTCCATTTTAATTAAAGTTCTTGGTGTTCATTACCATAAATAGTATTAAGTGGCTTTCTGTTGCTGAACCACACTGAAGTCCTCTCTTTTTTTTTTTTTTCCCCTATTTAACAATTAACTCTAGGAATTTTGAGAACAATAGCACATCCTTTACAGAGGATGAGCTGTGTGGAAAAAAGTTCCAAATATTATTGATTCCCCAGCTGTGACATTGTTTCCTCTCCTTACCTTTTCTCTGCTTTGGAGTGGTTTGAGTTCTTTGCATTTTTAAAACATTTTTAGTCTTCCTTCAGGGGAGGAGTAACTTTTTCCCCCTCATGAGTAGCTGTGCCTTCTCTAGAGATCTCTTAATGAAAGGTCTCCCCAGGGGCAGCTGCTCCCTCGGGTGTGTTCCCTTGGAATTTTTTTTTTCTTTCAGCCATGGAGAGATTTCTTGATTTCTGGTGTGATTTCTCGCTGCCAAACAATGTCATCATCCTGTCAGTCATCTGCTCTGAAAGCTGCCCCAAGGTAAGGCCGTGGGGATGCTGAACAGTCAAATTATTCCATTTTAACCCCGCTCTTTGGCCACACGGTGGATTGGGGAGTTTTCCAGAGCAAGTGCCAAAACTGAGTGAGTTTTCAGTGCTGCCCGTGCTCTGACAGTGCAGGAAGCGCAGCTGGAAGAGGGCAGGAATACTGTGTGCCCCCCTCCAGGAGGTGGGTTAATACTCCACTGCTTTGGCAGCGTGAAATCCTCCAGAAATCTCTCCAAAATCCTCTTTCAAAAGTAGCTGCGCTTGAATTGCTGGACCCCAACAGCAAAGGGTTGAACTTGGTGTGAATTCACACAAAGGCTTAATTTAGGATTCCTGGAGTTTCCATCCCTCCCTCCCTCCCTCCCTCCCTTTCCTTTCAAGGAGTTTTACTGAACAATAGGGGAATTTTTCTAGAGGAGACTTATTGAGAAGGGGGCTACTGAGCCTGACTCATCTTTCCAGCTGCCAAACTGCAGTCAGACCCCACTCATGGCTTACCCATGGCTCACCCCCCTGGTGGAAATGCAGCAGCAGGGCTGTGGTTTGGCATCTGAGACCTGCAACTCGGGCTAACATTTCAGAATCGTGACATTCACTCTGTATCTGGGATTGTTGGGGCAGCAGAGCAGCAGCCCCTTCCCTAGGGGCACTGGAGCTGCTCTTGTTGGCTCTGAAAGAGTTGTGTGACTGGACACTCGAAACAGAATAAAAGTTGGAAGTTTTCATTTGCATTTTCCCTCCTCTGTCTGCTTTCTTTGACGTTTCCTGGGTGTAAAAGCCTTCTGTCCTCTTGCTTTTCAGAGGTTAAAAATTCCAGCTCTTGTGTAGGATTATTGGGTTGTTTTATCGAGTTCCTTGTGGATTGTAACAATCCTTTGTGAATTAAGCAGAGGTACAGAGAAAGAGAGGCCTGGGCTGCATTATGGGTTTCACCATCACTTCAACAAGTGCCTGAAACAGTTTCTGTTCTGAATTTAAGGCTGCTGGAGGATTGTCTGCACAGGTGGGTTTTCAAACTGCATATTTGGCTCTCCTTCCTGTAGGAAAGGGATAGGGGGTGAAGGCAGTGGAAAAAGCTGCCTGTTGCCACAAGAATTGTCTTCAGAAAACTGCTGCTAACAAGTTATTTCAGCTGCTGCCCACCCCACACACTCCTTAGCTGGAAATGCTGGCAGATGGTGCCTTGCCCCAGTTCATGATGTGCACCCAGAAGCAGCCTGGGACTTGCAAAGACCATGTGAGTTTCTGTGCAGCTCTTTTATTGTGTAAAAAGGTGTTTCTCTTGTGTTTTGCCTTTCCCTCAATTCCTTTGTCCCTGACTCCTTGACCGCAGTGACCTTGGCCCCACTGGAGTGACAGAAAACGTGAGCAGGTGCCATCAAAAACCTCCTGTTTATTGGATTCCTACAGGACTTCAGTACAGGAATGGGGAAAGAACTGATCTGTCCTTGTTGGAAAAAGACTTTAATCATGACAGTTCCAAATTTTCTGTGTAGCTCACTGAAAAGCATAAAGAGGCAGCTGGAACTATATTGGGTTTATTCCAGTAAAATCCTCCAGCCTTGCTACAACCATCAGCTTTTTACCTTGCTGATTCTTGGCTTTACCTGTTGATGAGAATTCTCTTGATGGAAAATCACTGCATTTCTGAGGCTTGAATTTGCCAATAGAGGGAAAACAACTGTTTGAATATCTGTGACATTTTAACTACTAATATCCTGAGTTTAAATGTAGATATTCATGATGGTTGTTGTGCCTCATTTGCTCCTTGTTTCTCATTAAATATCACTTGTTGCTGAGCCTATCAAAGACACTGGGAGAGGTGAAGAGATCCAGTGGAATTTTTTCCTCCTTGATAACCTTGGCAGTAGCAGCAGCTTTGGTGGGAATGCTGAGCTGGCTCTGGAGAACTGGCTTGGCTCCAAATGGTCTCAGTAGGATCTTTTATTGAGGGGGAAATTAAAAATAATCGTGCCAGTCCAAAAGGCATTTGAAACACTTGAGCTGTACCTTTCCTCCAGACATGCAGGGATGGGCTCTGCCAGCCTCCAGTGGAGTTTGCCAGGAGTTTTCTTGCAGAGCTGGCAGGAGAAAATCGTAATAGTCTGCAAAAAGAGCTCTTGAAGGGGAGAAAGGGAAGGAAAAGGGGCCATTTCCCATGTTTGTCTTGAGTACTTTCAACATTCCTATTTAAACTTAGCAGGAGAGAAGGATTTCCAGAGGTGGCATCCTTGACTCTTTACAGGCACTGTGTGGCTGGAATGGTTTTCCTCTTGCTGAAAAGGCATTTTTGAGGCTCAAAATGGGGGCATGGCTGGAGTGGCAAAGACCTGGAGGGCTCCAAAGGGCAGACCCCGATGGAAGCTTCCAGAGCAGGGATGAGCTGCCTGTCCCGCGTGCCGTGATCCGCCCTTTCTGCCGCTCCAAACAATCCCTGGAACAGGAAAACTGTGGTTTGCCCTCCTGGCGTGACCCAAAGCGGCCTCTGAGCTCACCGTGTGTGCGTAAGGTGGGGAGTGGAGCCGGTGACGTGAGAAACGGCTGGAAAAAACCCCGTCTGGGAATGTGAGGTGCGTGACACGACAATGACGGGGGTGACACGGAGAGAGGGACTGAGGAGTGGCACGGGAGTGTTTTCCCGGAGCGTTTCTGCAGGATTGCTGCCTCCCAGGGAGGGGTGGGGTGGGTCACAGGATCAGCTTCCAGGAAACAGCTACAGCAGGTTGTGGGGTTTTTCCCCCACTGGTTACACATCATCTGTTCCATCAGTTGGTGAGAAGCTGTTCAGAGGAAGGAGAAACTACTTAAATATTTCTTTTGAACTTTTCAACACTGGAGGCTGATTATCACCCACCCCCCCTTCAGGTTTGTAGCCCAGTGATTAAAGTCTCTGGCAAAATTCAGCTTTTTAAACTACTCAATTCATAATCTTCTTGTAAGCAGGGAAAAGCTTGAAAACAAGCTGTAAATGCTCAAAAAAAGATGTTTTCCAGTGAAAACACTGAATTTCCCCTTTATTAAAAAAAAAAGAAGAAGAAAAATATTTGAAGATGTGAAGGATTTTTATTTACAGTCGATTCCCTTACAGAATAGAAAACTTAATTTTTTTCAGACAACCCCTCTTTAAGCTGGATTTCCAGTCGCTGGGTTGTAAACACCTTCCTGGGAGCACTTTGCATTCCTTCCTTTTGCTGGGTTTTCCTTTGGCTGCGCGGGGGTGTTTTTTTTGGGAAGTGCTGCTGAAAGGATATTTTCGGGGTATCCTATAAGAACCAGACACACTTTTTTCTAGAGGGAAAAGCCTTCCCGAGGGATTCCCGCGGGATGGGAGGGATGTGTTGGCTGGGAGCGCCACCGCTGGGTTGGAGGTTGTTCCTCCCTCTGCCGCCTTTCAGCCCCGCTCGGTGCGTTTTGTCTCTGGTTTGAACTTTGCCTGGGTTTGGGTTAACTCAGTTGTAAATATTACCTGCACTTTGGGAGCTGCAGGAGAGTGAACCGAGCAAGGGAAGGTGGAAGTCGCCAAAGAGCAGCTGGGAATAAAACCAGAAATATTTTCTGTGGGTTCTGCCAAACCCTCAGGGAAAGCTCTTTGGTTTTAACACCCATCTGTCACCTCCTGGGCTGTGGAGCCCTTCCAGATGAGTGAAGCACCGGCAGGACTCAAAGAGCCAAAAGGGCTCCGTAGGAGCCCGAACCACTACTTTAAATTTGGTTTAGGACATCCAGATGTTTTCACTGAAACCTATTTTACCCCTGTGTTTACCAGCTTAACTGCTCTACTTTTTAAAATCTGGGTTATTAATTAAAAGCGATTCCTCCTTGGGCTTAAAAAGTTAATCAAGTTTGCCATTCCACTCGAGCAGAACGTTTTTGTGCGCACTTTGTTGCCACCGAGAGCCAAAGCCAAACCGTGCAGCTTCTGCCAGGAACAAAGAGCCACCAGGAACGGGGACACAATTCCCGGAGCGGCAGCTCCGCTGGCCGGGCAGGAGTTGCGGGTGTTCAGCGCTGGTTTTTATCACATGCTGGGACAGGGATCACGTGGAGAGGCGGAGAATCAGCCCTGCAGAGCCCGGCTGGCACCGTGGAGCTGGTGGGGTCTGCGGAGCTTCTGTCCCGATGGCCTCGGTGAGCCAGGATCAGATCCACAAGGTAAGGAGCTGCTCTCCCTATGCAGTGACACTGCTTGGAACAGTCACTGCTGGTTAACCTGACCCTGGAATCCGCTTTACAAACACTTCATATCCCCCCCCAGCTTCTCGTATTATGTTAATTTTGAGTGTGTGAGTGTCGTGCTGACAAACTCTTCCAGAGGGCAGCTTGTCCCGCAGAGCTCTTGGAGGAATTTCTCCCGTGCCCCCTCTGGCTGGGCTGCTCAGCTCTCAGCCCTGAACTCGAAATCTGCCTGGCAAAGGATAATCTCCAGGGATATTCTATATAAAGAAACTGTAGTGCCAACAGAGTTCACTTCATTTTTCTGAGGGATTGTGTAGTCAACCGTGAGAAATCACCCAGGGATTTTTTTTTTTCCTGAAAGAAAACAACGCCTTCCAACTTGTAAAGGAATCTCATCCTGATTTGGCACGCAGGAATGACTGCTCTGTTTGTGTTAGCAGGCTTGGTCATTTAATCTTAGATAAATTATCCTTAAACCACAAAGGGTGAGATCTCTGCTTTGGGGACTGAGGGGTTGAGGGAGTTCTTAACTGTTTGGAGTCTCAGCCTGGTAATGAGCCTCTTTTACAAGAGAAAGAAAAGATAAAGAGCATGTCGTAACGTGCAACGTTAAAAGCAGTTTGTCCAGCTGCAGGGCTGAGGGCTGGATGATTTTCACCCTGCAAATCGAACTGTTTTCTCCTGCCTTGAGCTGCTTCCCCCGGGGGCTGTGCAGGGGAGCAGCCACCCCGTCTCTCCCAGTTCCACAGGGATGGCTTCCTCGCCCTGGAGCGCTTTTTCAGCACGGAGGAGTGTGACGGCATGAGGAGCCGCATCCAGGGAATCATCGAGGGGATGGAAGTGCCCCCGCACTGCCGCACCGAGTTCTCCACCAGGGAGGAGGAGCAGCTGCAGGCACAGGTACCGGGAAGGCAGGGCTGGAGCACTGGGAGGAGGAAGGGACAAGGGACATCGCTGCTCAGGGAATGGGACTCTTCTTTTAACTGAACACCGTGAGAGGACTTTGCTCTCCAGCTTTCTGCTGGTGTTTGGTGGGGTTTTATCAGAGGGTGAAGGGAAGGATTTGTGACTTTCAGCCCCCGGTAGCCACAAGGAGCTCTCACAGATCACTTTGTACTTGTTCTGCAGGCAAAAAAAATGGTTATTTTCCAGGCAGACAGCAAAAGAAAAGCAAGGGCACCCTCTGTGTGAGAGGTTCTTGTAAAGCTCTAATCAGCACAAATACATTTAGTGTTGTAAAAGTCTCTTTGTGAGTGATTTTTTTCACTGTGTTTTGTTTATGCTGCATCTTGGTGGGGAAAAAAGATGCAGGTGAGTGTTAATGCTTTGATTGAAGGTTAATTTATGTTTTTGTGAGGATGCTCTCTTCACTGGGCTCTTATCCTTGGCAGGGGAGCTCAGATTATTTCCTAACCAGTGGAGACAAGATTAGATTCTTCTTTGAGAAGGGTGTTTTGGACAAGAAAGGTAAGCCCTGGCCTGAGTTTGCCACAGGGAAGAGATGAGAAAAGGCTGAGTGAGGGGTCAGGGGCCAATTTCCAGCTCAAGGGATGATTCCTGCTTTGCAAACATTAAATTCTCTTTTGTCCCTTTTTTCATAGGGAACTTCCTAATTCCAAAGGAGAAGTCCATCAGCAAGATTGGCCATGGTATGTTAAAGGTTTGGGTTTGGAAGGGAGTGGACAAAAGGGCTGTGGTTTTCAGCCACGAGGGTTTATCCAGACCTGCTCTCTGTAAATAACTCTGCAGTTCTCTCCATGCTGCCCCTCACTCTCTGCCCTCACAGGGGACTTAATCTTCTGTTCCAATCCTTTTCAAAGAGCCCTTCTGGAGGTTTTTCAGCCATGCATAGCTCAGAGTCACTGACATGGGAAAGGCTGGACTTCAGCCCTTGGCTTTTTATGTAAGAGATTTGCTCTGACAAATTTACCACCCCAGAATGGTCACATTTGGTGCAGATCAAACTGTGCCTTCTGTGCCCAGCCTGGTGCTGGGTTACCAATGCCAAAGCTGAGCCTCCCTCCTCTGGTGTCACCAGCATGTTTTCTTTACCCTTACTGGCCTCAGTCTGACCTATTTCCTCTCTCCCAGCTACTGGACTTGCTTTTGATGCCTTTTGTTTTCAAACAACACATGGAAAATGAGAGCAGCATTCACTGAGTCTGCAAACACGTGAACTTTGTTCAAATTAAACTTCACTAAACTTGGACAGGCTCTAAACAGTACTGAGAGTTCTTGTTCTGAGGTTTTCTCAGAAAAACACTCCCCCCTTCCCAGGCCTGCCATTCTCTTACACTTCAGCTTTTCCCCAGGGGAAGCAAAACCAACTGTAGATTCCTGCTGACTCTGCAACTTAGCCATTCAAAAGGCTTCTCTAGACTTGATTTTCTGTGATTACTCCTTTTGGTCAAGTCCACCCTCATCCCTTGCTCAGGAGCAGCTCTGGCTGTGGCAGTGAGCTCAGTGATCACAAGGAGCTGGAGGCACAACTCCCAAGTCCTGGCTTTATGGGTTTGTCAGAGCTGGGGCATAGCAATGTCTGCACAAACAGCTCTGACCTGCAGGCTGTGGCTCTCTGAAGGGCATCAAAAATAAACTGTAACTTGGTTTTGTAGTACTTACTCTTCTGGTAGGTCTTAAGAACTGTGTTTTTAAGGGGTGTGTTCACCCATGTGCCTTGGGGTCATGTATAGTGGTTGTCACTTGCAAAATATAATCACGTAACACTCTTTCTTTTTTTTTTTTTTTCCCTCTGTTATGCACTGTTTTTTTATTTATCTACAGTTTGTGATTATATTTATGATCTCTAATGCTGATTGTGTGATTGTACAACCCACGAGTGTCCTGTCACCTTAGGTGTGATAACCCATGTCTGTCCATCCTGGGAGGGGTGAAAGTTTCTGGCTGCAATTTACCCTGCTTGGCTGTGGCCTCTGCAGCTCGTCCTGAGAGCTGCCAAATTCCCTTCTGTTCAGGAAAGCTTCAGTCTGAGCCTTTTTGTTCCCCTCAGCTTTACATGCTCACGATCCTGTCTTCAAGCAAATCACCCACTCCTCCAAGGTGCAGGTGAGCTGTCACTGCTTCCTAGAATGGTCTGGGGGAAAAATAAATACCTTATGGAGTAGTTAATCTTAAATTTTCTAGACTCCCAGTGATAGTCAGTGAAAGGAAATTTAAGTATCTTCACAGAATAATGTTTTATAGTGTGCAGAAAACTGCAAACATAAACCTTGGAAAGTTCTCTTGCAGGAACTGGGAAGAAAACTAGGCCTGGAGAGACCAGTGGTTGTGCAAAGCATGTATATCTTCAAGGTACAGTGGTTCAAGTTGTCACTCAAGGAATAAGACCCTGTTAGGTGGGAAGCTCTGAATCTCTTCACACATCACCTTTCTTTCCTTGCAGCAACCTGGCATTGGTGGTGAAGGTGAGACTTTTATTATCTCTACATCACTCTGCAGGGAATGCTCCTTTTAGGGAAGGAATATTACCAGGAAAAAAAAGGCTGTGAGTTTGGTGGTCCAAACCTCCTTAAAATTATTTTAAAAGCCCACGTTTTTCAGAAGTGTTTCTGCATCGTGTGCAGCTCGAGCCAAGAGCTGCTGTTACACTTTGCAGGAGCCTGAAAGGTGGTGTTTTACTGCGAGATTTAATTCAGATGGCTGGGCAGGGGAGGACACTGAGCCAGGGAGGTGCAAGCCTGGAGTCCTTCTGGTTGAACTGAATTCCTCAGGGGTTAAAAGACCTGCAACAACCCTCTCTCCTTGCAGTGACACCTCACCAGGACGCCACCTTCCTGCACACGGAGCCCCTGGGCAGGATCCTGGGCTTCTGGATTGCCCTGGAAGATGCCACACAGGAGAATGGCTGCCTGTGGTTCATCCCTGGCTCTCACACCAGTAAGAGTTGTGTGTGTGTGTGTGACCACTACTGGGTTACCACTTCTGTTTTCAGCACACTGAGCAGCTTTAAATTACTGCTAAAACACCTAAACGTTCCCCCAGTCAATAGTGCTCTTCTGATTTGGAGGCACTCATCCCTCAAATCCTGGAGTCAGCTGCACTTGGATTGTGATTTGTGCTCTTACAGAAAGGATAAATGGACCAAAGGTTGGCTTTGCAGAAGCCTGGGACTGTTTGTGTCCAAAAAGGTCTGTTGCAATGCACAGAAGGGGCCAGAAAGGCAAACAAAAGGCAGTTGTTTATCTGTTTTCTGCCACAGCTGGAAAATCCTAAATATTGGCTCAATGAAAAAGACCCCACCCAGATTCCTAAGGACAAATTGAATATAGCAATAACAAAGTCTGATAAATCACAGATGTTGTCCCTCTGCTGTGCACAACCTAGTTAGGTGTTTAATTGTTGTGTGTTTGTGGGTTTGCAGATGGAATTACCCGGAGGATGGTTCGTGCACCTTCAGGAGCCTCAACATGTGTGGAGTTTGTAGGGTCAGAGCCAGCCTATGATGACAGTCAGTTCATCCCTCTGCCCATAAAAAAAGGTACAGACAGCCCCCAATGTGTCACTTGACAGCCCAAGAAAACACAAGGGAGCTAAAAATTGTATTTAACCCTTCCCCTAGAAAGCTGGAACTCACCATTTGGAAAAAACCACAAAACCAGCAGCACAGGGGTTTCTTCCCCACAGGTGGGCTCATCCTCATCCACGGGGAAGTTGTCCATAAGAGTGAGCTGAACAGCTCGGGGTCCTCTCGCCACGCCTTCACCTTCCACGTGATGGAGGCCGAGGGCACCACCTGGAGCCAGGAGAACTGGTAAGGTCTGGTCCTCACGGGCACCTGAGGAACCTGCAGCCAGGAGGAGCTGTCACGGGGGGGCTTGCCTGTCACAGTTTGTTGGCAGTGCCCTACTTAGCACTGATTCTGTACCTGCAGAACCGGACCAGCCTCTGAAGTTTGGGTTTTCTCTCTCCCTTCCTTCCTTCTTTCCTTCCCAGGCTCCAGCCAACTCCTGAGCTGCCCTTTCCGTCCGCTCTACACCTGAAGTCGGTGACTGGCTCTGGAGTCGATAGCTGATCAATATTCCTGATTGTTCCTTCACCTTCCCCTTAAACACACCCTTCCCTTGTGGCAGCTCTCAGGGTTAATTTATCCTCGGAACAGGGACCTTTGTCCCAGCCCTGCAGGAGCCAGAACCTTCTGCTGCAGCAGGAGCCCTGCAGGGGGAGAGGAGCCACCCAGGCCTTTCAGTAGGGAAACCTCTTCAGTCTTGAGAACAGACCAGTAAAGACCATGGCACCTTGACTGGGACCAGTTAAGAAGTATTTCTCCTTGCAGATTCTTGGTGTTTTCCCCAGTTTAAGAGCTCAGGTGCATTTCTTGGCTGTGTTGATTCCAGCAGTGCAGGTGAACGTGTCATGGGAAGAAGGCTGACTTTCACCCTCCTGTTGTTGGAGTAACAGTGATTTAAAACCAACCCTCTTGTGGGCAAGATGAACCAGGAACTCTGCTTTTTTAATAATCAATCTTCTAAGCATTCCCAGCAAACTGTGGTTGTTGAGTGTTTGATCCCTGGGTGTGGTAATTAAAAAAATATGACAGTTCTTAAAGATCCATGTTGAAATGATGGGAGCAAAGAACCTCAATCAAACTCCTTGCACTTAATAAAAGAATAGAAATTCTCCTTTTCATCTCCATCATCTTTTCTTTGAGGAAGACACAGTGTGACCTCCCAGCAGATGGGGCCAGCACCAAGTTGTCTGATGAGCAGTTTGAACTCTCAGTATCCACAAGAACAATTTCTACCCCTGAAACCTCACCAAAGCCAAACCAAGCAACAGCAAGGAATGTTTGGAAACACAGGTCACATCCAAGGCAAGCTCGAGCCTGTGTCCTGAACTGAACAGAAGCTGTGTAGGTGGAATTTCATCAGCCCTGATGCAGTGGCAGCCCTGAGATATGGGCCTGATGTCACCAAGGCATGAATTACATCAGAGTTAACATCAGAGCTGTGACAGAGTGAGCCCAGTTCTTACTGACTCATCCCTTTCAAATGGATATTGCTCACCTCTGGCTTTTGTTTGAGGTGAATTTCGTTTCTTTAAGGGAAAAAGTTTCCTTTTCACCCCTTTGGGCAAAGCAGAGTAGGTTGAATCCAGCAAAGAATTCCTCCCAGAGGAACAACTCAGGTGGCTGGGGCAGGAACTGGGGAGCTGGGTAATGACAACAGCAGCACCACTGAATGCAAAGTTTCTGCATTCAGAAACTGCCTGTGCTACAGTTTGTTTGAAAGCTGGGAGCAGGGTGGAAAGAAGTGACTTTCCTTCCCTGTGGTGCTGTTTTATTCCATCAGTGGTGAAGGCTTTGCCTGTGTCTTTCCATGAGAGGAGTTAAAATAATTTTGAATTCAGCTGAGAAGGGATGGTTTGTCCTCTGGTTCTATTGCACCACAACCTGCAACGTGCAAAGCAAAAATCTGGATTGATTGGCAGGATTTCCTGCCAGAAAGCGAAGGAGACTCAGCTCAGCCCAGTTACTGAGTTTGGTTTCCTACAGAGAACAGCTGACAATGGATTTCCTTATTAACTGGCTCTGGCCAACTTTGGCCTCCTCAGGAAAAGCAGCACCAAATCCCAGGAGCCCTTCCCAGGCAGGGGGTGAATTGGGCAGTGCTGCCTCTCAGTCCTGGCTCGTTGCAGGGACACAAACACAACTCTTGGATTGTGGAGCCAGTTCTGCTGAGCCAGAGATTGGTTTCACCCACCCCTGGGTCTCACTCTCAGCCCAAGACAGAGTCTCAGCAGGACAGTGTTGTGGGAAGCACTTTAGACACCCCCTCCAAAACTGTTCCCAAAAGTGAATTAAAAAGGGGTCAGAAGTTAACCTGATAGTGAGAAGAGACTGTCAGTGCAGAAGTGTTTCATACATAAAAATAAGGGTTTTTTTTGCCACAAAGTAGTAGTTGTAATTGTGATTAAGTGGGCAGAATTCAATGGCTCCACTCAATTTGTTGATAGAAGGATTTCTATAAATTATTTAATTAAACATCTGGCTGAAAAAGAAACGTGAAAAGTAGAAAAGTGCAATAGTAGTAGAAAATTTTATTGACTTGAACAGATTTTTCTGCTTTCAGAATTAACGTGTAATTAGTTTTAGCTGTGACTTTGCTTAATTCCCCCCCCCCTATATTCATTCCAAATGGATTTAGAGATTAAAATCTTGGGAAAGATAAAGCATTCTTCTCGTTGAGTACAACTTCAGGGCTAAAAATGTACTGCTGGTATTAGCAGGGCTTGGAATGAGCAGTGTCTGACATTCCCAAAGCTTCCCCCCCACACCATGGATGTGTGCTGAGTTTGGAGTTGTGTGTTTGTGGTTCTTGCAGATGGACTGGACTCATCTGCACTTTTGTACCTGCTCTGAGTGCCCCCCCTTGTTACCAAACATGCTTTCCATGGTGCTCATGCAGAAATGGGAGTTCCCAGGGTCACTAATACAAGATGCAGGACTCAGTACAGAAAACAAGGTACAATACACAGGTGGCAACATCTGAGAGATCTGCTGATTTATTTTTTTCCCCTTTAATTGACTTACCTCTTCTTCCTCTTGGCCCCCAGAAAAAACTTTGGTAATTGGATTATTAAACACAGGCTGTTTTTTATCAGTCCTGTTTGTTGCTGTGAGAACCTAACTCGGGCTGTTTTCAGCAGGGGGGAAAACAAGACCAAACCAAACCCTTTATTTTAAACAAGTCTCATTTGTGATTTTTAACAGATTTCTCTGCCGTACCAAAAGTAGTGTTTAGGTCATTACAGTGCATTTCCTAGTACCACTTTTCTCTAGGAAGGGAGAAACCTCTGTTCCTGGAAGGGCTTCTACGCCATGAACATGATCTGGAGGTAGAGAGGCAGCAGCAGGTTGTCAATTTGGGTGGTGTAAGCTTCCAGCAGGGAAACCAAACTCACAGATGCCAGAATCCAGGCATAGCTGGAGTTCAGATTCACGCTGCTGTCAAAGATCAGGATCAGGGCCACGGCGATGATCTGAGCGAAAATAGCTGTCATTGTCCCTTCTAAGGTCTTCTTTGTCCCTGGCCATTTGATCTCCCCCATCGTGCTGCCAAAAACAGAGGCAATGGTGTCTCCTACCCCCACTGCCAACACCCCCGAGTAGGGCACCAGCGCCCCTGCCCCAGACAAGGTGCCTTTGGGAGCACAGGGTCTGGGGAACAACCACACCGGCAGGGACATGCCGAGGAGGAGATAAATGTGAGTCAAGATTAGGGGGCCACTGTCCCTTTCATCCAAGAAGAGAGACAGCAAATGCCTGAGGGTTTGGCCGAAGGGTTTGATCCTGAAGTACCGGACGTATTCCAGGAAGATGAACACTGCCAGGCACAGCACTGCAGCAACATAGAGCAGCTGCCGGTCGTAAATGAGGCCGGGGACGTAAGTGGCTACAACAATGAAGTGGAAATACTTCCTGGTGATAGTGGAGGCCTGGTGCTTTTTGGATTCAGACGATCTCTTTGCGTTCTGGTAGAAAACCACCCCGCAGGCTGAGGCAGCCAAGAGGGTCCAGTACACGAGAAGGTAAAGTCTTGTCTGTGTCTGAAACAGAAACTGCAGCAGCCAGAGCAGAGGGTTCATGTGGATGAGTCTGTACAGCCAAGGCATGATGACCCCTAAGCCCAGCACCGCTGTCATCATGTGGAAGAACATGGAGGAGATCCACGTGCCCGAATCCATGAAAAGGAAGAGCACGGTGAAAAAAAGACCGAGGAGAACGACTCCGACAACTGCCACCAGAAGGAAGAAGTCAATGGGATCCCCTTTGCCCTCGACTACGTTCAGTGAGCGTTTAATGAGCCGGTTGAGGACAAAACTCACGCCTCCGAGGACCAGCAGCGCTTCCCCGGGAGTGAAGCAGCGGGGCAGCAAGTACAGCAGGATCATACTGAGGTAGACAAAGATGAGCAGCACTTCCAGGACCTCTATGACTTCTGAGACAGCCAGGGAGTGCTTCATGGTGTAGACGATGACGCTGCCGGCCATGCCGGTCAGGATGCAGGTGTTGGTTGGCACGGGCTTGGTGATGCCGACGGCCAGCACCGACAGGAAGAGCGCGAGCAGCATCCCCGCCGAGGCCACCACCACCCCGAGGCGCTCGAAGTAGACGATGCCGGCGGCGCGGCAGCGCTCCTTCATGACGATCCCCAGCAGGGGGATGACCATGCTGGCGGGCAGGAGCCCGCTGTTGGCCGCCCCCCGGAACTGGAACACGGCCCCCCCACCTTGGAGCAGCCGGTCCCACTTGAACTGCACGTAGAAGGCCTGCAGGGCCAAGGCCAGGGCGCACCAGGAGAAGCGGTCCCACACCACGCCGTGCACCGCCAGCACGATGGCAAACACCACCAGGGACTCCACCAGCACCGGCTTGCTCAGCATGGCTCCAGCTTTCAGGAGCTCTCCCGGGAGTCCTGAGGTGCTCAGGTGTCCGTTAGGAAGAATTCCCTTCCATGCTACTGCAATTCCTGTTGAAGAGAAAAGAAAGAGCAAACAGCTAGAGCAGCTTCACTTTAAGAGCAGCTTCACTTTAAGAGCAGCTTCACTTTAAGAGCAGCTTCACTTTTAGAGCAGCTTCACTTTTAGAGCAGCTTCACTTTTAGAGCAGCTTCACTTTTAGAGCAGCTTCACCTTTAGAGCAGCTCCCAGGAAAGGTTAAAGCTTTTGCACATCCTCTTCTCCTGTCAGTACCTTAATTCCTGTTTTCTGAGGCAGAACCCCCCACTCTGCCATTATTCTGGCCCCCCTTTTGGGACCTTTGAAGGTCTCAGTTTCTGTATTTCTGTTGGCTGATACAGTTGTGTGTGTCCCAACTAAGGCACTGCATTGCCCCATCCTTTCTGGCCCAGCAGCAAACTCTCATTAAATTCTGCTCCCCAGGTCTCATTGCCAAATCTACACCAGCTCCCCGAGAAGTTTTCTCCACGTTCTGGTCTGGGTTTTCACTCAGTGTTGAGTGGTGTCACCAGCCCCTGAAGCTGACAGAGATCTCAGTACCAATATCACTGAGGAATATTCCAGTTTGTACCATCAAGCTCCCTCCCACTGTGTGTGTGTCTGCGAGGTTTAGTTATTTATGAATTTGTACTGAAAACTCCTAATTATTAATAGGTTGTTTTTGGCATCCTTGTTCATGCAGCCTGAAATACTTGATTGCCAAACTTCATTCCATGCACTGTTGCTACACAGCTTGATCAGGCCCTGGGTGAGCTTTTGCCATCACAAGTCGTGTTGAAACAAGAGAAGAATTAATCATGCAGTTAAAAAACCCCAAGTCTGGTCGATATGTACCCATAACTAATGATGATTTTGGGGTCCCACTCTGCTGTACTGAAGAGGGGGAAGCTTAAGGCTTATTTGAGAAGAGGCAGAGTAAATCCACCTGCCAAAGGCTGGGAGTCCTGCCCCTCAGCCTGGCAACGCTGAGGTTGCAGCCCAGCTCTTGTATCGATAACGGGACAAGACAGCGACCCCCAGCCTGGCTGCAAGACAAGAATTCCACCCTCTGTGAAGTCTCTGCTCTAACACAGCAGCTCGGAAAGCTCTGACCCGTGAACCTGCAACACGCTGCGTTTCACTGCTGAATTATTTCATTTTCTCGTGCCTGCAGCAGCTCCTTCCTCCGCAGCTCTCGGGTAGCGCGAAGCTCCTCAGCGCTGCCGCTCCCTCGTCACGGAACGGGACCCGTCGCATCCCGATTCGAGCCACACCGAGCGTTTTCTGCCCGTTTCGCGATCCGCCTCCAGGCTGCCCCGGGCAGGGAAGCTTCCCCCTGCCGTGCTGCCGAACGCGCGGTGTCCCTCGCCTCGCTGCAGCCCCTCTGTGCCCGCTCTGTTCCCCGCGTCCCGCCAGCCGCCTCACCCACAACCCAGCCTTCGCCCCGGGGAACCTGCGGCAGGGATCAGCGGCCGCGGCCGCCCGCGGGAGGTGTCGGAGGCGCTCCCGGGCGCTCCCCGCTCCCCCCGCGGAGCCCCGCCCCGACCAGCCCCGATCACCCCCGGCCGGCCCCGGGAGCGGAGCGCGCACCCACCTCTCAGGACGCCGCCATCTTGGCGCCGCCGCTGTCACATGACCCACCGGCGGGCAGGGGGCGTGGCCCGGCCGCACCACGTGACGCCGGCGCGGGAGGAGGAGGAGAGGAGGCGGGGCGAGCGGTCACGTGAGCGCGGAGCGAAGATGGCGGCGGGCGGGCTGAGCGCGAGGTGCGGGGCCGCTCGGGTTGGGTGGGGGGAAGGAGCACAGGGGCGGCCCCGGCTCTCGGTGCGGGCGGGCCGCGCTCCGCGGGGCCGGGAGGGGAGAGGGGGCGGAGGGAACGGCGGCGGCGGGAGGCTTTAACTGCGGCGGGGCTCACGCCGCGCTGGCCCCGCCCCCCCGCCCCGCGCGCTCAGCGAGGCCCCGCCCCCTTCCCCCTCCCCTCCCTGAGGGTCCCTCAGGGTCCCCCGGCCCGGCGGTCGGAGCGGAGCGAGTGTCGGGGGGTTTTGGGTTTATTTTACTGTGTGCGGGGGGAGCGGCCGCGCAGGACGCGCTGGGAGCCGTTGCTGTGGCGGGGCCGAGGGGGCTCCGTCCCCGCTCCCGCTGCCGAGGGGCCTCCGAGCCCCGCAGCTGCTGCCCCGACCGCGCCAGGGCCCTCCCGCACCTCCTGCAAACGTACAGTCGGAACAGACGCGTGGGAAGCGTGTCAGTGAATCACAGTTTCAGCCATCACCTCACATCGCTGCCTTCGTTTGTCCTCAGCACTCTTGCCGTTTACTTTTGTCGTTTATGGTAGCGTTTTTATGCTCTGGAGTTTCCCCGGTGTCTTAATTTTATGTTAAACGAACGCCTCTAAGCCCTAAAGGGGACAAGAACAGCACTGTTAGTTGTGGTTGCACGCAGAGCTTTCCTCCTTTAGCTTCTAATTAATGAACGGGCAACAAACCGCGGTCTGTTTATTCACAGACGAGGGAGTGAAAGATGGAAGGGTTGGCTCTGCTGGGCTGGGGCTCGATTCTTAAAATGAATGGCAAAAAACACGCTCAGGACTAACAAAGGTACCAATCTAACACGATCACTGGATCTGGGGTTGGCTGAATTGCTTCCTTGATATTGCTCTTCGATTGTTGGTGAAATTCTGGGCTGGAGAGGCAGAACCCAGAGCTGGTGCTGACCGTGTCAGGAGAGGCTCCTGCCAGGGAAGGGCACCCAGCTGTCAGGGAATGGGCAGGGAGAATTCACGTTGATGAGTGTCCTGGAAATCATAGCAGTTGCCATTCACCGGGCGGCCCCACGTGTCAGAAGTCGCAGATGCTTTTCACTGCCACAGGGAGGTACTTTGACGATGTTGTTCTAAAAATAAGGCAGTGAGTGCTCCTGCTTTGCAGACAGTCTGGGTGAGAAGTTGTGCTGTTTGACTCCTCGTTTGTAATACCTTGGTAACAGATCGTTTGTCTAAACGAAATAGTCTTTTTGGCAAACATCTTTTCCCTGGGCTGTTCCAGGGAGACTTTATTTTTTGGGGGTGTGTGCAAAGGGTCAGGATGTGATCTGTAATTCCTTATTGTTCAGGTTGGTTTCTCTGCAGAGTTCTCAGGAAAAAAGAGGAAGGTGAAGGTAAATGGTCTGGAGTTTTTCACTTCACCCAGGTTTATGCTCTGCTCAGAGTGGAGGATGAAGCTCTGATGGAAGAATTTGGAGGAGAGCATTGAATGTAACTGAATAAAATATTGCTCTGTACTTCCATTGAGTTTCTTCTTAAAGACCTTCAAATGTCCAAGCAGCAAAATCCAATTGAACTGGTAACCTGATATAAATGTGAAGCTTTGACATGAGTGTCAGTTGTCACCTTCTTTGGGTCTTTCTTTGGTTCTTCCAGGACATCTGAAACCCCTCAGTTAAAAGCTGATGTTCCTTAAGTCATTTTCCTTGTACCACAAGGTGATCTGCTCCCAGTTCACTGCAGGTCTGAAAAGGCAGGAGCCAAATGGAAGCCTGACATAATGGTCATAACTAAAACACTTTGCACCTTTTCCCTTTGTTTGCAGGAGCAGCAGGGAATTATGGACAATTCTGCTGGGCAGATCAGCTTTAAGAGAACCAGTAAGTGCCTGTCCTGCTGAGCAGGTTTGGCCATCACTGAAAGGGCTCCGTGGCCAAATCCCTCATTTGTACATCTCGTTGAGTGAAAATATTCACTGTTTTTGCTGTTTTCTCCCTCTTCCTCAGTGTGTTTTTTTGTTCCTCTGTCTCTGTCATTCGTTCATTCTTCCACTGCTTGTTTACAGCTGCTGCATGAACTGCCTGGAAGGGGGTGTGGAAAAGGTGGTTCCTTTTCTGGAGTGGGCACAAGTGCTGCTTCCTAGCCTGGCTGGCCTGGGGTGTTGATGAGTGGCTGCCTTATTGTAAGGGATGGAGCCTGTGCTTCCAAGAATTTGCCCAGAGGTTGGAAATCCAAATGTTTCTGAACCCAGTCCGTTGCCTCCTATTTCCTTGCCCCTCTTGGGATTAGCAAGGCAGGTCCCTGCCTCACTTACCTGGAATCAGTCTGGCTCACAGACACCTGGCTTTTCTTGTTCCTGTCTCTGTGGTGGTGGAATTTCCTTGGCTTTCCTTAAATTGAACAAATCTGGTGTTTGATAGTGCACTTTGAGGAGTCTCTTCAGGGGTATTTGTTTCTTCTTGTAGGCCCAGATTGCTGCAGAGTTGAACAAGCACTGGCAGAGGCTGTTAGAGGGACTGTCATACTATAAACCACCAAGGTACAGTCACTGCCTGATTTTAGGGATGACATTTTCTGCTGTCATGCAGCCTGTGGAGAAGTGACCCCTCATGACACTCAGTCATCCCACAAAGACATCCAGATTCCCTCACTGAAAGAGGTGGAATGAGTATAATGTGCATTATTACAGTGATAAAATTGTGAACACTGTTGAGATTTATCTGGTGGGAAGGTTCCTGAGTATCATTATATGAAATATTGAAAGGCCATTGAGGAAAAAGCAAATGTTCAGTTTAAACTGATAAAACTGAGGACTTTGAAATTCTGCCTGTTTAGATCAGTCCTTGGGATTGCTGCATTTTCAGTAACTAAGATTTCTTTCCTCTTCAGCACGACTTCAGCAGAAAAAATTAAAGCTGATAAAGATGTAGCTGCTCCACTAAAAGAATTGGGTCTGAGGGTCAGCAAGTTTTTGGTGAGTGAAGCTGCCATCTGATTATCTTTTATCCCTGGAATGAATTGTTGCTGGGACTCTGATATATAAGTAACCTTTCTACCGTTGAGCAGAGGCAAATTTTAAGGTCCTTTCAATTCAAGATGATCTGAAGGATGTTGGAATTCCATGTTGAGGCTGTAGGTCAAACTTTTCCAAAGTGAGGAGTGACCTTGAGGTGCTGTGATTTTCCTGGTGCTGCTGCACAGGGCCCTGCTTTTCAGCAGCAGCACCTGCCATTGTCTGTCCTGGCTTCTTCCAGGACAGCTGCTCAGCTAAAAACTCATGGCCCTGAAATCAGTGGCCTTGTTTGCCAACCCTCTCAGTTCACCTGCAAAGTTCTGTTTCTTTAAACCACAACTTGAGAGTTCAGGGACTGGTGGTACCTTTGTTTAAATGACTCTGATGCTCAGTGACATCAAAGCTTGTGTGTTTGGTTTGAAACAGAAGTGCTGATTAAAACATCTGCCTGGTGCAAAAGTGTTCTTTTGTCATACATGGGAAATTATTTGTTTTGAAGATAAAGAGCTGCCTGGGTGTTAATCTTTATTGAATTCAGTTGCCTTTTATTAATTTCAGAGCATTTCTCTTTTCCTTTGTGTAGGGCCTGGATGAAGAGCAGAGTGTGCAGCTGTTACAGTCTTATCTTCAAGAGGATTACAGAGGAACCAGAGACTCTCTGAAGGTCCATAACTCCTATTAATGTTCTATTTACTCCTTAATATCAATAGTTTGTTGATCCACATGAGCACATGTGAGTGTGAGTTCTGATTTGGAAATGGCTTTGTAGATTTTATTCTCTGAACCTACAATGCTCCAGTGCTGCTTTAAGGAAATGTGAGAGCAAATATCCAGGCTTATCTCCTGCTCAAATCTCTGCAGGAACTCAGCTCCTCTGTCTCTCTCACAGGAATACAGGAAAGCCACAGATTTGTGAATGAGAGTGGAGATGAAAAATAAATATGTGGTTAAAAATGAGTGTTTTGTCTTTGTGCTTTTGGAATCTCTTTCCAAAGAAGTGGAAAGAAAATTTGCCGTTTTTTTTTATTTCAGTCTTTTTTGTACATAAGTGTTTTGTCAGCAGATCTGTCTACTAATCTTTATTTTGTTGTGTTTTGTTTGCAGACAGTTCTTCAGGATGAAAGGCAGAGTCAGGCTCTGATGCTGAAGGTTAGTCATTTCCATTTGTTTTTTTCTGTGGAAAAGATCTGTTGGCAGAGAACCCACTTTAATTCTATGGAAAATCTTAAAACAATTGAAGTATTCCTTCATGTAATGAACAGATTTTAGAAGGTGCTTTGAAAATTGTGCATGTAGAT